TAACAGGTAACGAGATATTTGAAAGGTAAAACAAATAAAAAATTCAACTAAAAATATTATATTTTGTTAAAGTGTGTAATATAACTTGAATCAACATGATGATATGCAGTAGTTGTGGAAAAGAAAAGAAAACGGCTAGTCAGATGAAGACTTGTCGAAAATGTCGTCACAGAAAGCGGAAACAAAAGAAAATTACCAAGGAATTGAATAATAACAAAGAATTGAAAGGAGCGTTTCAAATACTTTCTCCAGAGATTGAGCAACCAGCTTTATTGCCAGATCAAAATTTTGAAGTACGGCATCATATTGATGATAATATAAGTGACAATAGTCGAGATAAAGAAGGCGATAATAGTAGAATTGAGAATTTAGTATCTGAAAGAACAGTAGGTTGGAATTTTAGAGCGAAGAACGAGAATATGCTTATGGACTCCCAGGCTACCATAGCTGCAGACTCATCTTCGAATGACTCTTCTAATGAATATGACGTTGAATCTGAAAATTTTAAGACCGAGGTATTAGCACACATTTCTGCAGATAATAATATGTATAACAATATGATAGATATTGATAGCCAGCCTAACATTGCAAACGTAAATGAAGTGGGAAATGAAAGCGACAACAACATAGAAATGGAGGAAATGCAAGAATATGAAGAAATGCAAGAAAATGAAAATGAAAATAACCTGGATTACGAAAATATACAAACAGCCGAGGAGCCTGATAAAGCCGTAAAGGAATTAGTCAATAGAAATAGAAGAAATTCTATATCACCACCTCCAAGGACAGAAACGGGGACATACACAGAACACCTATCTCCTGAGGATGAAGAAAAGGCAATAGAAGAATTACTAGCCGTTAATGGTTACCGCTTTGATAACTGGGCTAAAATTGTAGTTAAATCCAATACAGGATCTATACTCGATATTCATAGATCAAATAAGTGGTATATAGAATTGAATTCGACCACAAGGGTATTGAAGAATGAATCCACTAGACTCAGGATACTGAAAATTATTGGTGATAAGAATTACACTGGAGTTCGTAGTGGTTTCTTGACAAGACCAATTCAACATGCAACGCTTTACACCCTCAAACATTGTCCAGATTGTTCGATGCTTTCAAAACGATTGCATCATGTTAAACATTTTAAGCCATCCACAAAGGAAGTATGCAGTAACAGATGTCATTTCGTAACTGTCCAAGGCCATAAGATTAGTCTGTCATATATCAAAATAATCAGTTCTCATGAATTTCCAGACATACCTAGTTCAATTGTTAACAAATTAAATAAACCCCAGCTAACAAGGGAATTGACTGAATATATTCTAGGGGGGAATAAGTATTTGGAAGATGTTAATTTTAAAGAAAATATACTTGATAAGTATCGAAAGGATTTCGGATCACTATTATTACAGTTATCTCAAGAGTCAGAAACGGTTCACGAATTAAGACAGGCTTTGGTGGATCGGATGGGAAAAATTAGTGAATTTGCTAAAAAAGACCACCAGGTTGGTCACAGTTTATTTAGAAAATTCCGTAATGTTCGGCAACAAACGGTTACAATGTATACAAATATAGTATTTAAAATCTTGTATACAATGTTCAAACTACAAGAACTAGGTTATTTCAAATTACAAAACATTGATGAAAACATTGAGTCTATTGATAGCATTGAAGTGATAACAAACTACGTTGATAATCACTTAATCTTCACCAAAATAAATCCCGTTGGATTTAAATTTGTTAGTTCACCATTTATAGTTGCATTGTGGATTAATCACCTCGAACCAGTGAATTTTAGTTTACGTGATGAAAGTGGCATTCAGCATTTATTTGATGCAACACAATTTGTAATGAAATTAGAATTAATTAATTACTGTCACGAAAATCAAAAGAATTTAGAAAAAGAATACAAGGCCCGCTTCAAAGCTAGTGAAGATTACACCACTGTTTATAAACTTCTAAAAATCATGAAATGCAAACTCTTTGAATTTAGAACAATTGCTTCTAATTACTATGATGTATTCTTCACAAGAAAATACTCTACCATGTTATACCGAGACACTGAAATTCATTTATCAGATATACCGGAATTTGTTATTTTTCTTGTGAGAAGATTCTGTAATACATTAACACCAATATTATCACCAGGGTTCAACTTGCTAGATTTTATTGAGGAAAACTACGATCTGGAATTTTATTCAGCAACATCGTGTTTTATGCCTCTCCACGCCTACAGAACACAGCTTCCGTTTGTTAATTTTGATTCACCTGATAATTTGAAAAAAGCTCTTTGTTTCAATTTTTTTAAACTAAATAAAATCATCATTTTAATGATGTACTTCACAGGAGGTCTTCCATTCAGAATGACCGAGGTTCTCGTGTTACAATTCAATGACGTAAAGAGAAATATATTTTTCCGCGGAGGGAAAATGTTGTGCACATATACCTATAACAAAACAGATAATGTTAGCAACAAGAGTAAACTAATATCAAGAGGATATCCCATTATTGTCTCTAAGGTTGTCTTCTTCTACATTAATTATATTAGATATTATGAGCTCAAAGTAATGGAACAATTGAAGCAAATAGACAGAAATAAAGAAAAATGGGAGAAGTTACAAGAAAGATGCACTAGATACTTATTTGTTGATATTGGAAGCGGGATCGTTCAACAAGAAGATATGTATGCTCTTTTCATGTCAATGAGTACGATATTCTTCAAGAAAAGGTTGGGAATAAGAGATTGGAGGCAGATCATGGTGCAGTTTGTTAAGAAGAATGTGTCAAGCACCAGTAAATTAAGTTCGACATTTATCTATAAATTCTTAGAAATGCAAGCAGGGCATGGACCTGTAGTTGCACTCAATAGTTATGAGAAGACCAACAGCAGAGAATATGACAACAGTATTGTTGAGGCACAACAAATGATGTCCGAGCGGTGGCACGACATTATTAATCTTCCTTCCTCCATCAGAGAAATAGAAGATTTTGAACCCAAAGTCCAGTTTGAGCCGAAGGAGATCTTTTAAAAATGAGTGGACTGAATGGGTTGTGAATAGATTAAAAAGGGAGATGAGGGGTTAGTAGACCATTTGCTGTTTGCATATGAAGAAAAAGTGAGGCTATTCTCTTTTTATATAATACTATGATTGTCTCTTATGTAATACAACAATTATGATTATGTTTTTGTTTTGATTTAGAAAAGCGCCATGACATCATGGCTCCCGGTAAAAGTAAACAAAACACGGAGTGCACATTTTGTATAGGATTTACCAGGACGCACCCATTTGCAGGGTATAGTCGACTATGTATGTATGTAAGTATGTAAGTATTTTCATGCGCCGTGCTTATTGAATAATCATTTTGTTATTGAAAATACGTAATATGATTAATTAACAATACTTTTATAAAAGCATCGACGATATTAATTCTTCATCTAATTATGTTTTATCGAAGATATATAGAAGATAGGGGATTTATAATTTAGAGCTATGGGTTTTCATCATTCAATCTCTGGCTATTCTGGTTGATTATCTCCAAGGTACTCTCGATATCTATTTCAACCAATATTGTTGTATAAGAATCTGCTAACATGCCCTAATTTGTGTGGTTAGAAAACATGTCTGCGTCAAGAACAAATAATCTAACCATTTTTGGTTCATTAAGGTTTATCACTTTGCCGTCCCTTAAAAGTGGTAATTTTTTGACTTCCACAACAGCTAACGATCGGTAGTGCTTTTTTTCCGCATAAGCGAAAATATCCGATTGAAATAAATCATTCGTAGTGTGAGGTATCTTAGTATGCACTCCTGTTTGACAAACTGTATTTTTATTCCGTACTTCAATTTCAGAATGTAACAATGATGCCACATACTCACATACAGGGTTGAACAAATAGTTCAAGAAGTTAATTTTATATGTATCTTCGTCAGTCAATAATACATCCTTCACAAGTTTGCAGTTTAGCATAAAACAAACTCCAAGTAATTTGGTTATTACTTTTTTTCTTTGATCCTCGCTAAAAAGATCTGTTCTCAAAACACATTGCAAATTAGCTGCGAATTTGCTTTCCAGAATCTCTTCGTTGAATCAAATTCTATATCGGAAAAAGCCCGAATTAGAATGTTGTCAGTTGCTTGGCTCAGACTAAACTTACGTAGGGTATTAGGGTTCAGCATTCCCATCAGATCCTTCAAACTCATATTCAGTAAACGGCATGACGCAAAAAAAAAAATTATTATTTCCACCTATCTGGATAACCATCAAAATACCACTTGTGCTTTTGAGGAACTGTCTCCATATCAGATATATTTTCAATTCGAAAAAATTTATACACCATTTCGGTATGGCTGATATTTTGATACGTACACTTATCAAATAATGTTTTATAATTGAATTTGGTAATCTCAAATAGATCAACATCATCAACATCAACATCTATGTCCTTGTCTTCACCGCCACTTTCCAAACTATATCTCCTAATACATTCGCATTTTACGAAGTTGTATTTTATCTATCATAGATATGCACAGGTTAATTCTTAATTTAGGATTTTCGAGTCTCAAGCTGAAAATTCATTTGTTGTGGCGTTGAATAGTCAAAAAATGAAAAGCACTAGTGCGTTTGAAAATATTTTAGTGGAACCTCACCAAATAAGATAGATGAAACCTTCCAACAAAGCGAACAACCATAACTCCGTTCCTAATGTGCAATTATAAGAAAGTGTGCTTTACTAAAATTCTTCGATCGCGAAATACAATCTTCTCTTTTTTAGCAGTTTAGAAACATTTACGACGTACCCGCGACATTACACCCAAACGGGCTTGCAGCTCAACTATGGTAAAAACGCCCTATCTCCTAGTGCAGGCGATAGTCATGGTACTATTAAATCAGTTTACATTTTTAGTATGGGGTTGAACAGTCATCACCGGATCATATACTTTAGCTTTCATTAATCAACTGTAAAATATAAACTAGTTTGATATTTTTATATTAGCTGAGTTTTGCGGAGGAACACTTTCAATATGATCTATTTGACTTTTTAAGTCATGCTCTCTAGGTTCGATAATTGCATTATCGGCCTCCATTGTCAAATCAGTAATATCTTCTCCAAATATCTGGGCAATTTCTTCCAAGCCCAATCCCTTGGTTTCAGGAAAAAAGAAATAGATAACGACCATGTGCACAAACAACCAAACACAAAATACGATATAGTATCTCCATGAAATGGAATCCATCCCAAGGTTGTTAACGTAATTGTTAAACAAAACCCATAATTGCTGAGATAATGAATACACAAGTGCTGCTTTGCCTCTTAAAGTATAAGGAACAACCTCCATGACGTATGTATTACCAATTGGAGACAACATATGATAAAATCCTGAATGGAAATACATTACCGCCACAATACCTCTACCTAATGATTTATTCTCGTGATATGTTTGTTCATTTACAGCCGACAATATAGTCCAAATGACAAATGTTATCAACATTAACCCAAGACTTCCTAACATCAAAATTCTCCGTTTTACATGACCAGAATATAATGCGGCAACTACTCCAAAGACACCACCATAAACAGTATACCCAATATTGATTTTCAACTTTTCCATCGGATTAGTATAACCAATCCCTTCAAGAACGATAGAAAAATAGTATGATACGAGTGAAGATCCACACAATTGTATAATGGTTGGTAACGCAATCGTGAGAAATAATCTATGAAAATTTGCTTTTGTTTGAAACCACGTTAACCAGGAAACCTTCCTTCCACTCTGCTCTTTGGCAATTGCGGCCTTAATTTCAGCCATTTCAAATTTAACTAGCTCACTACTTCTATCCCCACCTGCGTGATACTTGGTCAAAACTTCAAAGGCTTCGTCCTCTTTGTTGCGAGCTATAAGCCATCTTGGTGATTCGGGACAAAAATATACCAAAACTAATTGAATTATTGGGCAAGCAGCCTGTAACACTGAAGGCATGCGCCAGGACCAATCGTTATACTTCAAATCTGATTCAAAACCAGCATATACAAAAAGTGCTGCCATAAATGCTCCAGTAGGAAAGCTCGCTTGCATCATACTTGTTATAGCTGGTCTTTGAGAAGGGTAGGCCGTTTCGGCTAGCAATGGTGCTGACGAAACCTGCGTTGCACCAGAACCAAGACCTAACACAATACGTGATACGAGAAACATACCATAGTTTACTGCACCTGCCTGTAGTCCGGACCCAACGATTGATAAAATAACACCAATAAGAAGCATATGTCTTCTTCCAATACGGTCACCAACAATAACCAAGAATGGCGTGGAAGCTATGGACCCAAAAACTAGACCGTTTGACAAAGTACTCAACCTTTCACCTGAAGGATTATTAAAATAACTGTTCCAGGTGGGAATTGTTTGTAAATTCCCCATCAAAGTACCGTCATATCCTTGAGTCACCATACCAAATAAAGCACAACCTAAAAACATATTTAACTTTAACAAATGTGGGTATTGAAAAAACCATTTTGTTAGTTTTGGTGTAACATCTTCCAATGTGAGCTCTCTCTGATTTTCAGTATCTGAATAATTGTCTCCAGAAACCAGTATTGCAGTAATACTGCCTTTGCCATTATGTTTATCTGCCATATTAAGTTGTAGCTAATGAATTTTAGACCTTACCTACCTAGCTGAGAAAGGTGATTTTATATATAAAGCGTCCTAGCTAACATCATGCATTTTGAAATTTCCCCAGATGATGACCCCAATTATGAAGTATAAACCGTTGAATAGTTTACTTTTACGATGTTAAGATAGTGATGGGGGAAAACTTCATTACTTAATCTGACTCTAATTTCAAAAAAATGTGGTGAATTCTTTGCTTCCCCTCCCCCACCAAAACCGGATATTTTTCCCAATTACCGAGATTCTCCTCTATGTTGTTCATCAACATGTAATATTGGGGCTGTATTGTTTTTGGCACATTCGCCAAATTACAGGGTGTAATGATTCATCTATATAATATATCTTCACTATGAAAGAACCTCGCATACTAGTTTTATTGTGTCCTGATTTCAACTTGCCTGGTAAGAGATTTCCTATGAATGCATCAGGATATTGTGGTATACGACGAGGCATTCCATTTAATCACGTAAAAACTCAACATTTACATTTAAAAAAATGTCTACAAATAAAAGATATAAATGGAATAGCTGATAATAAGTTTGTAATAACAGTTGCCAAAATAATAATATAGTGAATAGAATACAAATAAACTAAACATTAAAATAAATACAAATACAGTTATTAAATCTTTGAATACAAAGTACAGTTAATCTATTAGTTAATTTCATTTGATAACAAGCAGATAATAAAACAGATAATGCAGCTACCTATTCCTCCCTTAAAATATTTAGCCTATAACTAAGTATACCTAATAAATATATTACATTTTTAATGTATTTCTTTTATATAACTTTATCTCCACATAACCAAATGTTAATATCTTTTTTAATAGGTTCATTATTAGGGGATGGTCAAGCAAGTATTACTTTTGCTATTAATATTAACATATTATAATTAGATTCTAAGTTAGAAAGTTTTATAATTAATCTATGTTGTGAGAAAACGAAAATGAGGCTTCCTGGTCCATATGTCGGTAATAATTGGAAGTAGGGAGAAAGTTTAGTATTATATTATTATCATCTTGGTTCATTACAATCGAAAATTTTATACCCACATGTGTAAATCCTACTGATTAAACTGACGATCTCTCTTCAATGAAAAAGCCAAAGATTCTTCCTCATCTGCTAAAATGATATCGTTAAATCTACTGATCGATTATACGATTTTTTCCAAAAGTCTAGTATGTTGTTCCACCGGTCAAGTAAATACCATAAATAGAAGAGAACTCAGGACTGATTGTTTTGCTAATAGGGTCCTTGGAATCTGTTGTCATGGGTAATCTCCGCATCCCTCATATATATCTTGTTTATTTATTTGAAAGTTCCATGGCGTCATTGAACTCTAAAAGTTAATTTATGTTCAATTCATTCATCTATATGCGCCTATCACAACTTCACGCAATTGGAGGGATTTTATCTTCGGCCAGAAAAAGAGAATCTTCCAAATAAAGATTAATTTAAGAGATTTTACGAAAAACATTTATTTCAGAAACAACGTATTCTTGGAAAGAGTTTTTTACGAGTATTCCTCCAAAGATGCAAGCTTCATTCAATCTTTTCCTTGAATTCTTTTCCAAAAAAAAAAAAGATACTATTTCATATCCAAGACAATCACACAATATACAGTTTATACCCCCATCAAGTGTCCCTAATTAGTTATTCAGGTCAAAATGGTTGTTAAAACAAATTAGTAGGAGAACTATGGTAATGTCGTCATTTTCGATATTAAAATTTAGTCTAGTTTATTTTTTAATGGTCCGGGATTTCATAACCGTTAAGAAATACTTTCAACTACATTCTTAGTTCAGATACTCACAAGACAACTCTCTATTTGGCCGCAAAAAAATGAGGGTTTGTTCATGTCTCGGTAAAAAAATGTCTCGGTAACAAAATCTTCCTGACCACTGAAGAGACATAAAAAGGTTCGGTACACAGTCCCACCAAAATTTAAATTTGACCCCAGATTACAAAGTGTGTAGGGATGTTGAGAATGTGCACACGACTTTGCTAAATATGTCACATTTTTTAGGCCTATGTTCACTTTTTACGAGATTATATACGTCTACTAGAATTGTGTAATATTATTGAATAAAAACTGACTCTTAAACAGACAAATTTGATTATGCTTCTGTTGAGAAGAATTGATTGGTGTGGAGTAGAATTTAATTCGCAAGTTTTAAGCATATGATGATAAATTAAAACGTATCAGTAGACTTCAAAATTTTTGTTTTAAATTACTCGTAATTTTTTATCCCGCAAGCGGATAGGTGAATTCTTTTATTTAGGATACTCATTCAAATGTTATATTTGATCACTTAATCAAAGGAAACCTAGATGAATTAATTATGTGAAAAAGTTGGACATAGCTATAAAATAGAAGTTTAGAAACATTCTGGATTAAAAATCATTGTGCAGATGCGTTCTTGCCTCAAATATATATGATGCCCCAATAAAATCTCATGAGTTATTTATAAACATAAACTATAAACTGAAACTGAAACATACAGAGTAAGATGTGGAATATTCCATCAATAACTAAATATAGAGTCTGAATTCATGGAAATAGACATACATAGCTAACCTCCGTAAACAGATGAAAAAGATTCTCTAATTTCAACAATATTGTAATCAGCATTAATGCATAATTGAAGAAGAATCCGAGCTTTCTGAGGGTTGAGTATTCCAGAAGCAACCGCGCCTTCGAAATGATTGACATTTGCGACTGGAACACTACCTTCAACTGTACGATGAGAATATACAGTTGGCACGCCATATTTCTCCCAGACTTCTTTGGCAACATTATTACCCTCGTCTGTCCAATGTCCGGCTCCAAATCCGGCAAATACAAGACCCTTAGCCCCCAATTCAACAGCACTATATATGAGCCCGGGATTCAATCCCTGATACGCATACAAAATTATTACTTCGGGTAATTCATCCGTTTTAGATATATCAAAATGTTGATGGCCATAAGGTCGAATTGGAGGATAGTACCACTCAATTTGGTTATTCTGAAATACACCAAGATATCCCTGTTCTCCAGATCTAAAGGTATCTAAAGCAAATCCACTCATTTTTGTTGTCCAAAATCCACTTGCTATTCTATCATTTAAGACTACTAAAGGGCCACGTCCTTTTGAAGTTTCTGAGCTAGCAATTTTAACTGCCTGATATAGATTCATGAGCCCATCAGCAGAAGAAGCCGTGGGCGGTCTCATAGCGCCTACTATAACAAGAGGTAAGTCAGATTTTATTGTCAAGTCCAAAAAAAAACTGGTTTCTTCGATTGTATCGGTCCCATGTGTGACTACTGCTCCGTCAATATTGCTATTAAAAGCTTCGGTAATAGCCGCATATAATTTCAATAAATGTGAGCTATTCAATAACTTTGATCCGACATTAGCTACCTGCAAATAATCTAAATGAGCTACATCTTCAAGTGAAGGAATTGCTTCAACCAAGTCTTTTACAGTAAGACCCACTTTATATCCAGCTGTCTGCGAGTTAGTTGTTCCCTTACTTGCTATAGTTCCACCCATTCCAAAGATTTTGACTTTTGGAAACTGCTTCATTTTTAATTGTTCACTCCTGCATAAACAAAAAACTTGAATAATATACAATTCAAGGAAGAAACTGTTTTACATTTAAGTGTTTAGTTCCCCGGAGATCTCAGGAACGCACTGTATGGAGTCTTTAATTGCACTTTATGACATATAAAATTTATCAATTCTGAAATCAATAGATTATTGGTATTCCCAAATCCAATACTGATGTTAATTAATTTCTGACATTGTATATTGAGAGTCATTTAGTACCTGGAGCAAAGATATTAAAATAACTGTATACTCAGTTTGTAGTCCCTACATCGACGGTTTTCTATATTAAGATTATTAGTTGCTAGAACTCTTATTACTAAATTATATCTCAATTTTCCTTCTGAGTAAATTAGATCATATCAATTTCGAATACTTGCAACTTATGTTATATCTATTTCCCAGGTTATACGCAGCATTCATTATTTTGAGCAGACTGATTCTTCCTAGTTCGTGTAGCAACCTGAATTGCTTGAACTTGTTAGGTAAGTAGTTAAAATAGAAAAAGAGAAAAATTATTGTGTTAGGGTAGTAGAGCGATTTTCGCTCAATGAAATACTTCTTAACTCATAAGCTTTTGAATGCCAACATTTAGCTGAAATTATTCCATATGTTTGAAGCATAAAATTTTCGGTGCTATCAATTCTCGGTGCTATCTTTATATATTGTGCTAACTTTAAGTCTCTTCAAAAGTCAAGTACCTTGTATCATTGGTTTGAAATCATTAAGTAAAAATACATATTAGCAATAGGGTCTTGAGGGAAAACATATCCAGAAATAGGTGTGTTATAGTACTCATGCTGGCTTTTTTTTAACACTGGCTCAGCGCTGTCAATAAAGCTACACACAATACTATTATTATCCAAATGCTGTCGATACCTTACAAATGTCCACGGCAGTGGTAAAATTTTAGGGAGCCGCTCTGTTGAATCGAAAATATTATAGTAACAGAATCTCTCCGTGTTTCTGTACGGTCTCTGCCTTCGTTTTTTTTAATCATAATAAAAATTCATGGTTATACTACAATTGTTCTTTGTTAGTTCTAGTAGGGGTGCCTGTAGCTCTCTAATTACTGAAAGAAATCCTGTAAAGCATTGATTCCGGGGTTGCCAAACATATTGTGGAGAAATCATTTGGTATTAATGCTGGATTTAAGTATGACAATGCATGTAATTGAAATTCCGTATTTGAAGTTTACGAAGATATCAGGTGGAGAATTTTATTTAAAAACGAAAAAGACAACAGTTAACAGAAAAATTTGGAGAAACCAAGAGTGGATTTTCAAGCGATAGGTTTTTTAATAATTAGTCCTCCTCCCCCATTGAAAGATAAGAAATGGAACACAAGGGCGGAAGTATCACTATCTGGACATATGTTAACATATTCCTTTCTTTCCATAATATCAGATTGTAAAATTTCTATCATTCTTGCAAAGTAAATCTACTTCGACCAAAATCTATTGGTTGAGGAAACAAAAAAGATACGGTATATTTATGCGATTGTATCATAGAACCTATAGAAGTATAGCTGATAAATCCAACCTTGAAGTCAAATAATCAGAAATTTATACCCCAACCATACAAAGTCTATAATTGAAATGGTAATTTCAAGATTCAAAGGCCAAACCCTGAAATGTAATGAGCTTGGTATACTGCTTCATAATTTATATCATTAGTCAGAGAGACCTTAAAAAATCGAAATCTCAACATATATACTATTTGAATAGAGTGTTGTTAGCGTTGCTAATAGCCTTGTTGGCTCCAACAGTGTATTCTTGACTTTCCTCAAATTTATCTAAGACAAATTCTCTCATTGCAGTTTTCCCTCCAGTTTCCACAACATCTTTAGGTGTTCCCCTGCCAATGTGCTGTGTCTCGGCAATTCCATGTGGGAAGCCTGGAAAATCAGGTCCTGCCAATCCATTCAAGAACGCTTCTCTCTGTAAAAAGGCATATTCCACGTTTATTCCACATAATGGAACTGAAGGAATATAGAATACCGAAGAATCATTCTCACCTATATGTACTGGATCAACTGCATGAACTAAATCACAATGCCAGAAAACCATATCACCAGGTTCAACCTTAGGAACCAGAACCATCAAATTATTAAGATCCATTTCAGGGTGAGTTTTATCATTAAATTCCAAGCCCTTACCAGGGAATGCACCAGGTATATCAGAATCAAGTCTTAATTCATCGTTTTCATCAAAAAATGGTTTTAGCATGTAATACGCTGTTACCTCTCTCACAAGTGGAGCAAAGAGGATGGTACCTTCCTTTGGTGCGATATCTGAAACTGCCAACCATCCCTGAAAAGTTCTGAACATGCTGCATGTTCCTCTTGATTCATGTAAATCCATTTTAGCCTCAATTCTGTGGGTTGCATCATAAGGATCAAAAGTTTCCCAATTTCCTTCAAATATTGGCGTATAGCAATTGCTATATTCTTCGTCTTCCCATCTTTCTAATGAACCCCCATCTGCATGAGGACCAAGTGAAAAAAAAGCGTCACCTGCTTTTCTAATACGTAAACGATCAGCATAAGATATATTCTGATCAAAGCATATTTCGCTATCAGGAGAAGCATGCCATAAATTATTCATATATGACATAACATTTGTTACATTAGGATGAGACCGAGCTCTAACTTGCGACTTCGACCAATATAATTCATAAACAACTTTCTTATCTTTAGGAAAACCTTCTGTGTTTGGGTTAGCATCAATATAATCGATCACATCCTTTTTTAATTGAATAGCTTCTTCTTTAGGAATAACATTTTTAATAATCAAAGAGCCACGCTTTTTAATCTGCCGTGTTTGTTCTTCCCTCAAATTTCCTAATTCTGAGAACAGAACTTTTGGAATTATTTCAGGTCCCACTTCTTTTATTTCTTGGATTCCATCAGCTAAAGCCTTCTTCAACCTGTGCCAACTTGCAGTTATTGCTTCTTTATTTTTAACCAAGTTCTTCTTTACCTCGGCATACTCTTGTGGTAGACCTACTGTATCAGCATTTTCAAAAGACGAAAATACTGACGAGATATCACCATTTCCTCTGACTTTCGCTTTTGAGATATCGTATTTACGACAATTAGGATAGTTTTGTTTTGCTTCCGCACTTGGCATTTTTAACTCTTACTTTGCTAATAGACGAGCATTTCTTTTAAGGATACCACCTATATTTATATCTTCTGGCATTCTGTCCCTAGTATAGGAATTTACATACGCCATGTATGTTAATAAAGAAATTAATGATATCATCGCGGACGGATGACCAAATATAGTAATGAATCCTGCTAATCCCCTCGACCCAATTCGGTATGCCGCCCATCAAATATATAAGATTTTTCTGCCGGAGAATATACTTATTTGAAAGAATATCGAATCATTGTCCTCCTTAATTTCGTTTATGGCGTGTTAGGTCATTATGCTGTCTAACTTCACGATATCTACATTTTCTGTGTCCAAGAGACCGGTAAGTATCCGCACATATTGCGTTTAAAGGACTATTTATTAACAAATTCCGAAAGCGTTCCATAAAGGCCTGTGAACGTTGCAAGAAACTTCATAAGAAATGCATTACTGATTTTGGTGCATCAAGTTGTAATCTGTGCGAACTTAAGTCATTAAATTGTGTTTGGAAGCAGGATACTGATGATATAGCGTGTAACAAATCGACAAAGAGGAAAACAGAAACCAAAAAGGAACATATTTATGAAGAAATATTCAAGAACAATGATCAGATGAAGCCTCAATTTGTTTGTGCCACTCAACCTTTGGCCCTGTTATTAAGCAGGGATTCTTTTTTGTGCTTCGATGGAGATGACTTCGGCCTCTATTATCCTTGGAGAGGAATAGACAGTGACCAATTTAATGAAAAGAATATAGACGAAGATTTCAAAAGCTATTTAAGCAGCAAAGGCGCTTTTGTGGTTCCTCCTATACAAGAGCAACGACGTTTGATTCGGATATTCCTTGAGAATGTTTATCCATTATATCCTGTTGCGGAAAGAAATATTATGAACGATATTAGGACGATTCCTATCATGCTATTGAACGCTATTTTTCTAAGCGCCATAAGATTGGATACGTCTGAGGATAGAAGTAATATAAGATCTAGGTCAAATGAGTTTTATGAGCGATGTAAGCTTTTGGAATTAGTGGAAACAAATAAAATCACTTTAATACAATCATATTTATTATTGTCTATACACGAGGAAGGCATGGAAGGAGCTACCTCTTCTAAAGAATATATAACAAAAGCATGCAATTTATGTGGAGAGCTCGCGATTACAAATATGGGAGGTTCCAATGGGGTGTCCAAGAACCACGAGAATAAAGATACAGAGTTATCTAGTTTTAAAAAAGTTCATTATCAAAAACGAACCTTGACCCGTTTATTCTGGGTTTCATTCTGTTGCGATCGTCTTGTATCAGCTACAAGTGGAAGAGAAATGTACTATAATCCTGCGGATTTGATGGTTGATCGCGTTGAATTGGAGGATTTTGATGATGGAGAAAATCAAAAATATGATTTTGCCATATTTAATTCTTGGTGTAGTGTCTGCAAATTGATTGACCGTATTCAATCTTCTTTGTATAGGCCACCACAAAATAGAACATTGACGGATCATATTTTAGAGACTGATTTATTGAATTGGCATATTGAAAATGAGTTCCAAGTGGAGGAAAGGTTCAAGAATTCTCTAAAAATTTATCACGCATACGCTTTTATCTTATATCTCCGCTGTAAAGTGGATTCAATATCCCTTATTGTTGGAGGTTCCGAGCTCAACAATATTGAAGAAGGAACCACAGGCAGACATATGTCACTTATACATAATTATTCCACATTGATTGTCGATCTTATCGAATCAAACAAATTCATTCACCATGTTTTAATAGTACATGCGATTTTACATGTCATTGCTTTGATACAACTCGAATCCAAGATGCATTTTGAAGGCAGCCATGGGCTGTATTGCAAGATTATGATGGGTAGGTCTGTCAAGATACTTGAGAATTTTAAAGACTATTGGTGGTTTGCAGGTGCTGCCCTTAGACTATGTAGAGTCGTTATTTCTCCTGAGTTTTTTAAATCAGATAATAACACTTGATAATCTAGAAGTTTTATCGAACGTAACAAATGCAAGGCGATCCTATTAATTTCACCATGATGTACTTTTTTTAATCATACAGAACTGGGGATTTATTTACTTCATCATGGCCCAAAATAGATTTTTCAGCAAGAACACTAGTTAAAAGCAAAGGAAAGCTAGCTCAATTATTAAGGAACACAATAATGGTTATGTATATTTATTTATGTTAGTGTCTATAAACTAGGGTGACTGCTCTATTTTTTGCATTATACCTTTCTAAGAAACTACTTATAAAATAAATAATAATCTTATAGTAGACTCCATTTCCTTTCATTATTATAATCTATGGTCGCAATTACATACATCACTTAGCCAAATCGTGCATGATGTTCCAAACAAATTTACCATTGAAATTAAGTGATCTGCTCAGTGTTTGAGCACATTATAGTGAAGGATGTGATATCGGTCAAAAAAGCATCCGAGATATAAGTTGGATTATATAATAATCCAGCGCGACGAAATTTTTATGAGCTATTAAAAATTCCCAGTACAGAAACTTGTTCGTCAAGAAGTCTTAGCGTAATGATTTATTACGGGCCTCTAAGTAGCTCTTTCATCGAATAATTTCTCTCGTATGTTCACGAATAATTGGTGAAAGAGCGAATTATTAAGTTATAAGTGTTCTCTGTATTCTATGAATGGATTTATCTAATAAAGTTGTAATATAAAGGCGAAAATGAGAAAAAGCATGGTTGCATTATCCTTCATCACTTTAGCATGCATTCCTATAACCCTGGCCCTAGTTATAGTAGATAGTGTTGTTGCTTCGTCATGTATATATTATATGAAGCAATTCGATTGGGGCTGTAATTCAACTGGAAATGGAGCCACGCAGTATACTTGTCGTTGTGGGAATATCGACTGGCTAGGTTCAATTGCAAACTGTATTTATTCAGAGTCTACAGATATTGATGAAAGAAACCATGCATTGAAACATGTTGGTACCAGATGTTATGATAAATCCAAGAAGGTGTACGACTATGAAGTACTGGATTTTATTCAATTCTACGAAAATGCCACAGATTTTTTAAAGTATCCTGATAGTACGAAGGACATAGAGGATCAAGTAATGCATCCGCTAGAAGTCAACCAAACTGATTTCAAATATTATTTTGATTCGTTTCAAAACGTGATGGATCATGTAAGTAAAACTCAATGGTTTGGATGGGGATTGAATTTTTATTGGGTGGTAATTATAGTTATTTCGTTCGTCTATAACTATCATAATTTCTTTTTTAGTTTTATTCCAAGCAGGAAATGGAACAGAATTAAAGGTAGAATCATTCAATCTGCTTTATTCAAAAATAACAATTACAATACAATCTATTATTTGGCAGATTTAATTCCAATTATGCTTCCATCTACAATTGAGTTTGCTACAATAATCATATTCTGGATACTTGTTATCATATTTAGCATCGTTGGTTACGATATGATGTTACCAAATGCCTACTTAGGTAGCTCGAAATTTTTCTATTTATTAGATTTCATATCTTATCGTACATGCATAACGGCATTTTCACTTTTACCATCCATGTACTTCATGGGTATTAGAAATACACCCTTAACTTATGTTGTAAATTGGTCAAGAAGAACATTTATTAGCTTTCATAAAACTATTGCAATGGCTATGTCACTCCTAGCATTTATTCACTCGTGCCTGTGGACAGCATATACTATTAGGGAAGGGGATTATGCCATGTGGGCGGTTGATGCATATTGGCAATGGGGTATGGTATCTATGATCTTATTAGGCTTAATATTGTTTTCAAGCTTGAAGTGGTTTAGAATGGTAATGTATGATTGCTTTTTAATTCTTCACCATGTCTTTTCAATTGTATTCATCGTCGCAATTTATTATCATGTCAATACTTTAGGCTGGTTAGGTTGGTGTTACTCAATTATAGCGATTTACAGTTGGGACAAGCTCTTAAGGATATTCAAAATTGCAATATCTGGAAATCTAATTAAGAAATCAACGGTTGAACATTTTGATGAATCCATAATAAAACTATCAATTCCAAGAGATGGAATGAAGTTCAAATTTATGCCTGGTCAGTACACCTTCTTATATTTTCTACAGCCATATCCCTTACTCAATGCATGGCAATCACATCCTTTTTCACTATATATGGATCCACTTAAACCCAATTGCTTAACTGCAATTATCAAAGTAAAAAAAGGAATAACTAGAAAAATCTATGACTACATTTTGAGGGAATCAATGAAGGTATCGAATGATAATTTAGAAATCCCCTTAGTTATGGAAGGCGTATACGGTAACTCGCTTGTCTCCGCTAGGTTGGATCCTACTCATGATTATGTCTTAATTGCCTCTGGTATTGGTATTACAAGCATCTATCCGTACGTTTTGGAATTGTTAAACCAACAGCGCTCCAACCAAACAACCATTCGGTTATTCTGGATAGTACGTGATCTGAATGAATTAGTATGGTTCCATAATGAATTGAAGTTTCTATATGAAAATTACTGTGATACAAACCAGACTAGTCCAATTCCTAGAATTGAATTAATCGTAACACGGAATTTGGTTTTAGATAATTTCAAACTATCAGGCGAAGAAAATTCTAGTTGTACCCCGAATTCATCATCATTAAGCAGCATTAATCATGCACATGAAACAGCCGAAGAAGAAAGCAAAATGTTGGATGACCAAGAATTGCCGTCGGAAGAAAAGATTTTAGATGATAAACCATCAAAATTTACATCATTTAAGAATAATTCGTGCTTCAAAGTGTCAATGCTACCGGTTGGGAGCAGACCATGTTTGAGCAATTTAATCAGAATTAATAAAATCAGAAATGCTACACATTTTATAGTTTGTGGACCATCCAAATTCAGTGATAGTATTAGAAGTATGGTCAATGTATATAGATTAGAATTAGACTGCAACTATGATATCGAATACCACGAAGAAAGTTTCGAGTGGTGAAGTATTATATATAATATAATGTTGTTTTAGTGCACCTGCTATCTCTGGTGATACAACCTGTAGTGGATTTATGGAATGGTTCGTCCGTCCAAGAAATTGAGATTTGCGAACCTGTTTCGGTTTGATATGAGCAAATTATTCTATACATACTTCCGCGAAAAATATTACTATATATTAATAGAATTGAATATCAATATGAATAAATTTGGTAATTTAACGTATATCACTGACTCAAAATGATGGGAGAGATACCAGGCTCTATGTCGTCGATGTCGATGTCTAATTCATCCGGTGGCATGGATATGCAAATGACCTTCACTAACAACTTCCGTGATACTTCAGTTTTATTTGAAGGTTTGAAAGCGTCAACCAAGACTCAAGCTTTCGGTATATTTTGTCTCTTTTTTTTTGTCGCTATTATATTAAGAGGATTAATATTTGTTTATGTTTATATTGAGCAGGTAATTTGGCGTAATCCACCTGAAAATACTTCTTTATCGTATAAAAGGACCGTCGATTTTGGATTTGCCGATGACATACAAGAATCGTTTGATAAACAAGAACCAACATCTAACACAATCACCAATAATAGTGGAGAATTGCATTCAACTTCATTACTTATATCTCCACAAAGAAAACGTTCGATTTTGCTCCAAATGCTTTACACTAATTGGAAAGATTTTGAGAAGGATATAGTGAGATTGATTTTGTCATTTATAATAGCCATTTTGTCGTATGCTCTAATGCTAGTTATTATGTCATATGTCACTTGTTATTTCTTTGCTGTGGTTTTGGGGATTTCAGTTGGTGAAGTTTGGTTTAAGAGATTGGAAAGAATTTTAATGTGCAATGAGCTGATTATCAGTAATACAGAAGAAACACTCGTTCCAACCTCACAAGCATTATCGTGCTCAAGAACAAGATGTTAGATGATCTACTTCTCAGCATTATTTAAGAACCATTATCACGATTTTAAAACAAATATAAATATAACTTATATGAAGACTTGAAGCAAAATATCGATGCTAGATGGTCCAATATGATAACGTGGCATAAATTAATTATTTACTATTTGTTACTATCTATAGGTATACAAACGAACATAGGGTTACGTTACTTTGGTTTCAATTACGTTTGAATTATGCCGGACCTGCAAGATATATGAAGCCAGGTACCAGTTTTGAAATAATAGATTTTCTGAAAGAAAATAAAGACTTATTTAACTCTATCAACAAGTCCAAAAATTTGTTCACCCACAGATATAACATAGACGTATTCTGATATATGTGGATATAATTCATTCATATCACTGAGAAAATAATAAAATTCCTATGATTATTGGCAGGTAATTATCGAATTATTAAATAGTAACATAATAATGGATAATTTACATTCCAGCATAATTTATATTTTATCCAATTGTTATTTTCTTAACCTAAACCTACTTTCCTATGCAAAACTGCATTCATGAAACTCAGTAATTCATATATTTTTAAAAACAAATAAATAATATATAAATAATGGGTATATACTTTAATCAAGTAAGCTACTAAGTAAGCTATCAATCCCAGATCCGAGGTTGTTAACCAATGGATCGCTTAAGTTGTTGATATCAGCAAGAGTTGAGTTGACCAAAGACAGATCAACAGTTCCTTGAACGGTTTCCTCAATATGGTTGAGAAGGGCCTCAACCTTAGAAAGGGTGTCAGATAAAACAGAAACGCCAAATACTGGCATGGCCATTAAAAAGAATGCCATAAGGATGTTGAGTGCGTTGAACAGGAATTTCATATTTGCTTTGTTATTTGGTGGAATTTCTTTGAACTAATAATTCTAATGAACATAAAAGTAATTAGAAAACCAGTCAATTACTCTTAATTTATAGTACTCTATACTGTACTCTAATCCAATGTAATTTCAAAAAGTATTGCTCTTATCATTTTAAAGACCTTATCTTCATCTATATATCGAATTGTTTGTATAATACAGTGTTTGCAATTTAGTATACCCATCAGCAAATCAAAACACAAATTATTGATAGCGTGGTTAAAGACAATAAACGTAGACTTGTGATAGATTGTCGAGATCGAGTTGTTAATTTGCAACTGAGCCATATAGATAATAACACAATAAGAACAATGCTATCAAATATACTCGAGCTCTATTATTCTCTTATCTATGCAATTTGCATTAAGAACAAGCAAAAATGGCATGTGATGCTAATTTCTATTACGATTGATGGCATCGTGCTAACCAATGTTTATGTAAATAGCTTCCCGGAGATTAAGAAGGCTTATTGTCTCTTATCTAAAATGTCTCGATAACCACAATAGAACTTTATAAATTATCGCTACAGACAAATAAAGAACCAAATTAGAGTATTGTTTTGCATACAATAACAAGATAATCGTAATGATATTAAATTTCAAGATTGTATAATCAATAAAGCACTATCTTTTCAAGATATTTGCACTCCAAATAATTTAGTTTGTCCTCGGTTGTCACTTTGAACACTAAGAATCTAAATTTGAAAAGAAGATTGGAAAGTCATAATACTCACTCATAGTTATTTTGTCGATAGGATCAAATATGATGAATTTCGTTTTCGTACTGACTCATATCGAAGGAATAAAAGGAAAAAAATTTTGTTTGTTTTGTTTGCTTCATTCAATCATTACATACTTAATTTCTCGAGATGAAAGTTGAACAAAAGCGTTCATGAAGGAATAATGATCAGAACTAATTTTATTCGAGATTCTATTTATATTTGATGTGCTCAATGAAAAGTAGTACAGTATCGAGTATTTTCAGTCACTGGTTCTTTTATTTTACATAGTCGTTGTGAAAGGATCCAAAAATAGAAAATATACCATCTGGAACATTACTTAACATCAAAAAACTAGCCGTGCACTAATATCATGCCCTCAGGGGAGCAAGGTTTCTAGTATGTAATGCCATTTTATATAAAAGACGTGGAACCTAATTATTTTCATGCCATATTAGGAGGTCTGTAAGCTATAAGATAAAATGAACTTGACACAATTTGTAATAATTACTTCATATTTCGTATGTGCATACGCTCTGATTATGAATATTACTTTAATGGTAGAGTCCGAAGATGACATGGTTGATGGGAATAACCTTGCTTCTTTCAATGAAGGTGCTGGTGTTAATTTTTTTTTCGTGGGATATAGAACGCAACTATTAAAACAGTTGATGAGCACACAGATCAAGTGTTTTCAGTATTCGCAGATGTTGCCATAATAGGTGTTTATGATCCATATAATATTACTTTCGAAGATGATTATTTGAAGATCAATGGCACTGTTGATGGGTTTTTCGCGTGTAAGAACATTGCTTACAATCCAAATCATACTTTGCATTAATGCATCTTCTTGATGATACGGCACCTGAATGTTGTAAGTCTGTAAAAGTCAAAAGAAATATAATTTAGGTTTCAATGGCATTTATTGGTCTTGATATATTCTATAACATACTACTCTAGAAGTTATGTATATCAAAGTTGGTGTTGAAATCAAGGAAATGAATTTATGCTACAATATTATGCTGAAGTATAATTTAGCTCGTGATATTGAGAATTTCTTAAAGAGTATTATATGTAAAGCAGGAATAATCATAACGTCGCCATTTTCATTGCGAAAGAATTCGCTAAACGGCTCCCGGCTATAAATCAAACCAAAGTGCCATCGCAAGCAAAAACTATCATTTACTTTAATAAATCATAAATAAGTCATCTATTATTAAATGATAAAATGATAAATATTAAGGTAAAATGCCGAGATTTATTCGAAGCCATCTTCAATTTCAAATTCTCCAAGTCTGAATTTAACATTATTTTGTTTTAAATAATCTCTCTTGTGATGGTAATCTTTAACTCTACTACGAACATAATCCGTCCCGACAATTGGCTTTATTTTTCTGTATAAGCCCAAATTTTTTAAAACAGGGGATTCAGCAATTTCTATTTTTGCATTATCTCCAGGATGGAAAAAGTAGAGAACCCCATGCATGGTGTGTGAACTAGATCAGGACGGTGGTCTTACCTTATGAATGGTTGTTTAAAAATAACCCCAACAATTGAGAGTATCGCGCATATTGCATATTATTGAGCCTGGAACTGAAAGAACACATTCTACTCGCCATTCGAAAGTCTTATTAGAAGACCTGAGACAACCTGATTATAAGGTGAGGCTAAACTACTAAAGCCGGTATGTTATCTTGCTCATGTGTTTTCCAATCTATCATCTTCCTCGTTTCCTCGAAGCTGATACTTTAAAATAATTTGCATGGAATGATTACTTAATATTCTTAGTTATTTAGGAGCAAGCTTTTATCGGATAGAATTCATATAATTACACACATATTATCTAACAAATCAAGCAAATATTTAATCATAGTAGTGTACACCTGTATCAAAAATTTTGCTTTCTAAATGCAATATAGATGATGATTGTCTACAGAAGAGATAATTTATCTTCCATAACATCAGCAACACTACCACATATAAAGCCAATTCTACTCTTTAACCCGTAAAATATAACTATTCAGTGGTTCACTACGTGCTTTAGTCTTAAACGAAACTTTACTTACGTGATGCCCTAAAAACTACCTTCTCACCACTGACTTTATTATCTCTCAAAATCTCAAGCGCTTCGTTTACAGACTCTAAACCCTCCTTCAAAACTATCAAATTGGGATGTTTGATGTTAGTAATATATTTAGGGAAAAGATCATACCAAAATTCGTGGAAATCTTGTACTAGTTTTGGGTTAGAATAAAACTTGAGCCCATTATAGTCTGAATCCTCCCCAGTAACTGAGTTCACCAACGTGGTTTCAAATTTAACCTTTCTTGAATTGTCAGTTTTGATGCTACTTGCATTTAAAAATCCTAAATTGTCAAGGTTTACTTCATCGGTTTCAGAGGTAGCATCGTAAATCAGTTGAAAGCTTTTGTCAACCGAAACCATGTCAAATGCATAGGGAATGTTAGCCCCACCAACCCGTCTGATCTGATTTACTACATCAGAATCATGGTAATCAAAAACTACATCAACACCTAATGATCTTTAAAAGTCATGATGCTTTGTGAAGCCGTAGTGATAATCTTTAGGCCATAGACAAGTTTGGCCACTTAGATTGCTAAAATTCCGGTTGTCGTACCACCACCCCAAAGTAAAATATACTTGGAAGCATTTTTTCTCCTGTCAGCCTTGATAGAAAGGTTGTGATGGAATGATAATCCGATCGTCGCAAGTCCTAAATTAACCAATGCAGCACCTTCAAAAGTATCAGTTAAACCCGCAGGCTTTACACCAACTTCAAGTGGTTCGCTTTTCACGATACCTTTCGGATATTTAATGGTAGTAATTGGGTCGAGAACAAAATAATCACTAAACGCACCTCTGTCCTTGAAATAATTTCCACGTATAAATGATGAAACCACATCCCCGACATTGAACTCATTTACGCCAGATCCCACTTTTTCAACAACTCCACTAACATCTGAGCCTGCTATTTCCCCCTCTTCTCCCCAGTCAAAAACAGAGTGTTTCCAATCAGTAGGATTAGCTGCATACGCAACAGCCTTAATTAATATTTGACCGTCATTTATAGAAGGATAATTAGTCTCACAAACTCTAGTCAACTGACCCTTTTCGGTGGCGCCAGTGAGAAGTGATGCTTTATTTTGAGGTGACATTTGTACTTGATTTTCTAGTCTTTGTCAAGAGAAGTGGAATTGGATTATTGATAGCGAGCTTCACTTTATAGGTGATACTAGATTACTAATCACTTTTTGCAGCCGAGTAATTTCCTCATGCATGTGTTCGTGACCTAGTATTATTGGCGCAATTTACTGAAGTCATGTTTGGAACATTAATCTTCTAATACTAAATATTAATACGGAAACGGACAATTGTTTTTAGAAATTTATGGAACTGTAGGAAGAAAATTTATGTAATTAAAGTAAGAAGTTCTTGGACTGTGAGTAAGAAGGTACTAGGATACTGACGTAACTACAAAAAATGATGATTTTTTGTTTTATCCTAGTATAGCCGTTACATATTTAGCCGCAAAATTTTAGTCACAAATTTTCAAGCCGTTAACATTTATCTGCTGAATCATTAAGGGTACTTTTTCGCTAATAAAAAGAATTGAAAGTCAAGAGCTATAGATATGTACTTGAGAACATTTTATTCTTGTGGTATTTTAAATATTTAGTTATTTAGTTTATAATTTAGATACATAATACCCATGGCCTTATAATATAACAATAATCTGTCGAACCAAAATCAATTCATGATTATGTTTTGAAGTTATTTAGAGTGCTTACTGCCGATTCGAGTCAGAACTTTAATAGTGGTCACCCATGTTGATATGGCTGCTATTGGTGCTGTCCAATAGGTTTTGAATTATGATCCTAGTGATCCAACATCTCGCAACCGAGATTAATCTTGTCGAATGGAAATACCTGCTTGTTGCGATATTTCTTCCATCATTTGGTTGCCCACAGACATTTGACCAAGAAACTAAAACTTATCTTTCCCCTGAACTTAAACAATCCTGTCCAAATCAATCAAAAAAATGAACATCCTGGTATCAAAGTGCTATTGGTGTTTGGAACAAGGAATAGAAAATGCTTTTGGATTGGTTATAGCATCTAAACATTTGCAGGCATAATGAAGAATTTTTAGTTAATTGGATTTATACAATTTTTGTAGTATGTGATGCGCGCTTACAAGAAGATGAAGCGATTTATCCTGCTGGTCATCTAGGTCTAAATAACATTCGATGCTAGGTTAAACTTCCGTTGAAGGAGCAAAAATATTGAATGAAGAAGAGATTAAAAAGAAAGGGATATCATTTCGTAAACAGAATTTATTCTAAATTCAATCGGGGAGCATCAACGTTCCATATTAAAGAGGGAGATATACCAACTGTAGTTATAGAACCTTTTGCTTTGAACGGTGGGGAAAGATACGCGAATAAATATTAAGACGTACGGGTAATCATTCCCTGGTGCTACAGCATATGAGTATTTTGGGTTTGATTCGATGTTACCGCTACTGAAGTTAAAAAATACGTATTCAAACGGAACATTGAACATGAAATCTTTACGAGTCGAATTTTGTGATTTGGAGTAATTTATATTTTAATTGCACTGCGTATGTTCTATAATCAATTTTCAAATAATATATTAAATCTGTGATTAATTATCTTAATATTTGAATATCTAATTTTGTTGAAATTTTGACAAATTTTATAATTGTTTTTATAATTCTTTATAATTCTTTATAATGAAGTCTATTTATTGATACTTCTCAAAACTAGTAACTAAACCTTCAACTAAAGCTGCTAAGCCAACAGCTCCAGGATCAGGTAATCCCCCTTCATTTTGGAATTCTTTAAATTCTGTTTCAGAAACATACGAGGCTCTCCCAAACTTTGCTGTTAACTTTCTGGTATTTTCAGCACCATCCATGGCCGCCATCTTTGCCTTTGTGAAATCAAAAGTATTTCCAATTTCTCTAATAAAAGGCTCTAATGAATCAATTAGAGTTCTATCACCGGTTCTTGCTTGTGTATACCTAAATAATGATGTTAACGCATCTTTAAGAGATTTTGCAAGGTTTATCCTGTTAACTTCAAAAGCACCCTCTTTTCGATTTTTTCTAATATAACTTTGTGCCAAAGCACTAATAAAAATCGAATAAATACCACCGGAAGTTCCACCCATGTTATCTTCAAGTATTATCGCAATACTATTTAATGCATTTACCATATCTGAAAGATTTATTCTTTTTTCATTCAATGCTTTTAATATAGCATTAGCACCGGCAGCTAGTGTTTCACCACAATCACCATCACCCGCGATAGTATCATAACGGGTAATTTGCAGCTCCTTAGATAATACTTCTTTTAATCCCCCTCGCAATACTGATTCGAAAATACTCGAATCCAGCATAACAGTTGATTTAATATTTGAATCATCTCCATCAACTTCTTTAAAATCATCTTTAACTAGATCATTATTAATTTTTTCGGTTTGTGAAGATATATTTGAAATCCAACCAATAGCATCTGTATGCTTATCAAGCAATTCAATAATTTCATCACCACCAGATCTTGTTGCGTTAAGGAGCGTAATACTAAATCCTTGGCCATTTAATGATGTTGTGAACCCACCAATATAAACACGAATTGGATCTATTGAATAATCCTCTTTAAGTTTCTGAAGTACAACACTACCAATTGCATTTAATTCTAAGACCGACGTTCCGCCCAAGTTATTAACTAGCAATATAACCTGATCATTAGATTCGAAAGGTACGTAACTTCGCTCTTTATCATTCTTTGATAATAGATACTCAAGTAATTCTTCAACAAGACTTCCTATACTTGGAATGCTGGAATGCTTCTTTACGCCCGGTTCATTGTGAATTCCCATTCCAATTTCAATCTCATTTGGCTTAAGTAGTTCTAATTCATCTTCAACCCTACCAGGCACAGAACAATGTTCCAAACTCGCAGCAATAGTTACCATATTATCAACAACCTTCTGAGAAATATAGGCAACTTCAGACAACGAGGCACCCATAGCTGCCTTAGCTCCTGATATCTTATGTATCAATGCTGTTCCAGCGAGACCTCTTCTTCCAACTAACCCATTTTTTGTTCTCCCAACTGCAACATCATCAGCAACAATAACTAGCTCAACATCCATTCCAAGTGCCTTAGCTCTTTCTGCAGCGAGTCCAAAATTCAATATATCTCCCGTATAATTCTTGACAATTAAAAGATAACCTTCGTCAGATTTGATCGATTTAATCCCATTAAGAATTTGTTTAGCTGAAGGTGAAGCAAAAATATTTCCTACAACAGCGACATCCAATAAACCTTCTCCCACAAATCCAGCATGTGTTGGCTCATGCCCCGAACCTCCGCCAGATACCACTATCACTTTATCTGAGATAGACTTGGAGTTAAAAACAATTTTTGCATCCTCATTCAATGTTAACGAATAATTTGTGGCACAGAGCATTCTCAAATACATTAAGACAAGGTCTTGATCAGAATAATCCCAATGCTTTAAAAAGAACATAATTATAATCCACTATAAACAATAATTTTTTTTAATACTGTTCTTGATTTCAGAGTAGTTTTTTTGTTTATAAATATACTTGGAATATCTATAATTTTTGAAACTAAGCTTAATATTTCCCGATTAGATATAACATGGTGAGAATCCCGGCTATTTCCGTTTATTTCAAGGCTAGCTCTAGTTGATAAACGAGAACTCACAAAAAAGCTGAGATTTGTAGTCGCGTAAGATTCTACGGTTATTTGAAGTAGCGATCGGTTTACGACGCTAAGATTTACAGCCATTCGCATAATTTTAACATGTATGAATTACCCGCTTGTTAGTTAATTTTTTCCAAATACTTTTTTATTAATTACTAAATGCTGTTCAGTTCAATCACTACAAAAACATAAGTTAATAATATAATGATACTTATATTTTAATTCGCAAACGAGCAAATATTGATCCAATTTTACAGTTCACGACTTACACAATTTATAAATATAGAAAAATAAACATACACGAAGATTTTATCAAGAGAGCAATTTCTTCAATCTAATAACAACCATGTAATTCTTCAAAACCATCTTAACTTCTCGACTCGTAACAAAATTTTGTATACACTTAAGAAACTTTTCTGCTTGCTCAACAGATGAGAAATGACCTCCTTCATTATGTTCGCACCAAAATACAATATTGGCTACTCTTGTTGCCCAATCTCTTGGACAATATTGTTCCTTTGGAAGAAACATCCGTGGTTGTGGATTATAATGCTGGTTTAGTAGAAACGTTTGACTGGATTGGTCAATTCCTTGATCACTTTCCGACTTTCTATAAAACTCATCCGTGGCATAATAAAGGTGGATTGCATCTTCGCGGTTAGATAACTCTTGAACAAATGCAACCTTAACTCTCCATACTTTGAAATATTAATGACTGTCTTATAATGCTTAAATTCATTATTCAAGCTCCTCTTTACCTCTTTCAATCGTATTCAAAGCCAATAATCTGCAACTTCATTAACGCACCTTGCAATCGCTTTTATCAGTCTCCTGCACAATAGAAAATCTCGCCATTTTTAACTCTGCTTTAGTGCGTTCAACCAACTCATTATCAATATAAATGACATAAAATTCTTTATAATATAATCGATTTATTACCATTCTTGAATATGAAATACTAAATTCGATAGTGTTATTTTCTGAACTGAAAATGAATTTCAGATTCTGGAAAAGCGCTTATATACATGTATATATCCCACCACTCAGCGCAAATTTTCTTGCGAGTAGCGGCTAATTTAAATAGATAAAGAAGTCTCGCGTAGAATATATTACTCATTCCGTTGTTTGCAATGATACTGGCAATTTAACCTGGAATCTTAATTGCCATTTGAAATGAATACAAAACGACAAATATGACAATACTGTTCAGGGTGGATTCCTAAAGATTTATATTGACTTGATTCATATTTAAACCTCTATTTCAAATGACGTATATGCTTTGTCTCAATAAGCGACAAACGAGATTAACCTGACATTGACTATGATATAGTACCGAATGCTATCTAGTTGCATCATTAGATCCATATAGTATAAAGAAGTTTGGAAACTCATACAACAGATCCCTTATATGCCTCTGCACCACTACTCTCTTCTGCTCCTTATGTAACCATTAATTCCTGTGATGTTCATAGGAGACAATTCTTGAGTCTGAAAGCCAGCCGCATAAATAATTCCAGCAGATAACTCTTTCCCATTTTTCAAGACAACAGAATTCTACTACCTCATCTTTCCTCACATCGACATGAGGTTTATGTAACATCTTCAGAAGTTTATTACTTTCGAGGATGAGGTTGCTGATCCTGACCCTGATGAAACCCTGAATCTGTTGATGTAGATGAGGCGGCATCCATTGATCTTTCAATTAGCCCTTCAATTAGCCCGGCTAGTCCTGTTAAGATGTTGAAGATGTTGAACCTTCGCGTACTGAGATTCGTCAGCAAAGCAAATAATTAGACTTAGGTCAATTAAATAAGAGAAAGGTTATCTTAATCTGAAGAATCATACAACAGATATATTACATTTTGGTTTGGTTGTTGAAAGCGAAGGAGGGTTACCAGATGCTGGGGCTATTGGGCTAACCTCTTTGATTAGCTATCAGAAGTATTCCCAAATTATACATATACAAATTATTGAGCTAATAAAAAAAAATAACGTAAAATAGATAGAGATAATTTAAATCATTTATAATTTAGTTGATAAGAAATCATGTTACCCAAACTTGTCTATAGTGAACAAGCAAAAACTGCTGAAGGTCTTTCTAGTAAATATTTTGCATACTATGCCCTTCTGGTAGGGTTTTTATAAAAGATTTATATTTATTTGATCCGTCTAATGATTAATATGAAACGCCTAAGCATATAGAAATTTTTTTAAAAAAAAATGGAATACACAAATTAATATGAAACCACAAACTAATTTTCAACGATTATACTAGGACCCATTATGAATATTTGAAGCCAATGTCAAATTGTTTAGCCGATAGTTGTTATTCCAATAAGCCCTCTCCCATAGTATCAATTGTGACCACCGAATCTTTATAAAAATCAGAAGTTCTATTGTTTTCTTCCTTAATAGGCACGAGTTGCTTCTTATACAATTGACCTTTTCATCAAACCTATAAGCCAATGAATTTGCTCCCATTATCAACACATGTATCGATTTTTCATTGCCACTACGCAAATATTCATTTTTAAAGAATGGCACTATAATATAACCCAAATGGTGATTATCTGTCTTGTTTTTATGTCTTGCTAGGTCTCTGACCACCATCTAGCAGTATACTCTAACTTTATTCGACTAAGCTTTTCTCTCGGAAAATACTCCGGCTACTTTCGCTTCTTTCCAACAAAGTATAAATGGATCCAGGAGAAAAACTATAGGTCCAATAATCAGAATTCTTGCAGGAATACCTACCTCCTTTTGAGTAATCTGGGAATTCCGTCGAAGTTTGTGGCTCATGTAAAGCAGGATATGCAATACCCCAAATGTTTGCAACCATGAACTACAAAGTTTGTCCTTAATTTCTTCTGTCTCTCCGTCTAGTCATAATGCTAATATATTTGTTGTTTTAATTGATATCAATTTGTTTTTCTTTTTAACTTACATGGTAACCCAGGTATTTAAATACATTTATATGGTTGACATAAATGATAACCACCGAATGAATACTCCATCAAATATTCAACCTAAAATTGTGTATCTGAATTGATTAACCAATTCCTGTTATCTAACTTAGCTAGAGAGCTAGAAATAATCAATTAGATTCTGCCATTTGTGCTCTTTCACGAATACATCCTAGATCTGATGCACACTAATTATATTGGAATACTGTATAAATGCTCAATAATGAAACATATTTGGTGGGTATCCGCATTATTACATTCCGGTTGCAATGATTAATGCAAAATGCTTTCCGATGTGAATTTCTCGAATGCGTGGACTAATCCGAAACTTCGGTGACTATATACTGAACAACAACTATTTTACCGACATTTGTATTTAACCGCTCAAGATAAGCGCACATTGTCGCTTAACAAACCATACTCCACTCCAACAAAATTTTACGAAAGCTAGAGTTCGTTTTCAATTAATTAGGCTTACGGCTAGCATTAAAGCTGTTCTCGATAAGCGTCTCTTAGGAAAACATATAAATCCGAAGAGCTATCGATGATTTAATTTTGGAAAAATAAAAAGTATCAGTTTAAGTGCTTGTGGATAAAGGTACTTGTATAGTTAGTTGGTGTAAGTTTGGTAAAGATGAAATTGTATTATGCGTTGGCAAAGCCAGGTCTTTGGACTCAGTTTTTTCTAACAGCTACTTGTATATGTTGCTTTATGTTGTATGGGTTTGAACAGGGAGCATTAGCAAACATTCAAGGTCATGAAGCATTTCAGTCTCAGTTTGGATATCCAAGCGGGAGTTATTTGGGTATTATTGTTTCGATCTATAATTTAGGAAGTTTTTTTGGATGCTTGGGAAATATTGCTATTGGCGATATTTTAGGAAGGAAGAGAGCTATATGGTTGGGGCTTACCCTTGTCATAATTGGTGTTATATTGCAAACTAGTTCTTACGGTGTTGTTCAGTTCTTTATTGGTAGGTTTATCTCTGGTCTTGGTACAGGCATTGAGACGAGTACGGCACCAATGTATCAGTCTGAAGTTTGTACTGCGAAATACAGGGGTAGACTTGTGGCAGCAGAGCCCATGTTTGTCTCTGTCGGGATTGTTATGGTATACTGGGTTGGGTATGGTTTAAGTTTTGCGGAAGGTGGGGTTGTCTGGCGTGTACCAGTTGGAATTCAATTGATCTTTGCAATTTTAGGTTGGCTTATGTTATTTCTATGTCCTGAATCACCTAGATGGTTGGTAAAGGTGGGTAAGATAGAAGATGCTAAGTATGCTCTTTCAAAAATAAGGAATTTAGATGTAAATGACTACAAGATTACATGTACTGTGAATGAAATTGTGCATATTCAAGAAGTTGAAGCGCATGGTAAGAATATAAATTGGATGTCAATCCTTAAAGGTAAAGATGCGATGGCTGGTAGGTATCGTCTTGCGTTGGCGTGGGGAATTCAGTTTTTTAATCAAATGGGTGGATGTAATTTGGTCATCTACTATATGCCTTTAGTTTTGGTGACAAATGTGGGTATTGACACTGAATTAGCTACCATATTGTCTGGATGCATTATGATTTGTATGTTTGTTTCGTCGTTGGTACCTACTTTCTTCCTTGATCGGATGGGACGTAGGCCTACAATGTTTGTCGGTTCGATTGCATTGGCAGTATGTATGCTTATCATTACTGTGTTGTTGAAACAAGATCAGAAAAACTGTTCTTCGGCAGCAGTTGCATTTTTCTTCGTATACATGTGCTTTTTTGGTAGTACAATGAATTCCACGCCGTGGGTCTATGGACCAGAAGTCTTGCCATTACAATTACGGGCAAAGGGGGTAGCAATATCTACTTCATCGAATTGGATGTGGAATTTTGTTATTGCAATGATTACACCGGTTATGACAGACAATCTTGGTTGGAAGACTTATATTGTATTTACAGTTATCAATGCTTTTGGAGCCTTGTGTGTGTACATGTTTTATCCAGAGACAGGTAGAAAGACGTTGGAAGAAATAGAGGAAATTTTCTTAGGCTCAGGGAAAACCTTTTATGGAGGGTTATGGGATAGAAATCAGAAAAATGGTACAGAGGTGGAATTTGTTGAGTATTCAGAAAAGAATCAACTAAATAAAGAAGTATCATGTTCAAGTGAAGTGTCACGACAGGTCGCAGATGAGGTTTAATGGCGGCTTGTCATTAAGCCTTTTTTTCTAGTTTAGTTTTAGTGTTTTTATTTTTAATGCAGGATGAGAAGATTGTGGAACTGAGTGAGTGTAGGGGAATTGGTTTTGAGAACACACGCGCGGTAAGCACTATGCATGCAACTCCAGCCCGTGCCCATCCTCTTTGGCTTTGGCTGCGACTGCGGAGTAGCCATTCAGAAATCCCAGGACCAATGAAAATTACTTCCTTTTTATTATTGACATCCTTGAATACCTTAACAACCTCTAATATACCTATTTCAATTCCCATATAATAATAGTCTTACAAATGTATTAAAACTAGGTACATACTAGTGTCTATAATTATATATTCCATCTGATATGACATATATTGTTTGTTACAATCGAACAAACCGAATTAAAAATCAAATTTCTTCAGCCGTTGAATTTCTTTTTGTTATTGAGGCGAGATGCTATATTTTACCAACAATAAACTATAAGACTATAGCTTCACCTATATCTTGGTCTTCAATAATCACTTTGATACTTCCGCGCCTTGGATCTGAAGATAAAGTCAACGCATCAACAGCTTTTTCCATAGGAAATCTATGAGTAATTAACAGATCAACATCGATTACACCTTCGCTTATCAATCTTATTACTGCGGGCCACGAATCATGATACCTATTAATAAACTTAACATCAATTTCAGCTAATGATAAACGCATAAAGGGGAAATTATTAATAGTATCACTGCCTACTCCAATAATCATCAAAGTACCCGATCTTCTAGTAACATATGCACAAGAAATAATGCTACTCTCAACGCCTGTACATTCTAACGTAACATGAGGACCTTGTGATTCTTCGGTACCAAATAATTTCCTAATTTTCTTAGCATTTTCCTGAGGTGATGTTTTAATGTCAACCTTATATGTCTTTACTTCAGGAACTAAACTCTTAGCGAACTCCAACCTTTGGCTACTTAAATCAGTCATGCACAATGGGGTGGATCCTGAAGCCTTTGCTAACAACAAAGAAACTAACCCTATTGGTCCCGCTCCAGAAATCAATACCCCTTCACCCAACTTCAACTTAGATCTTTCAATCCCATGATAAGCTACTGAAATCGGCTCAACTAACGCTCCTTGAGCGTATGACATATTCTCTGGTAATTTATAGACGAATCTTGCATCATGAGTAAGATATTTCTGCATGGACCCATGATTAGGATACACGCCTATGAACTTGACATCCTCACAAAGATTATAATCACCTTGAGTACATAGAAAACATATCCCGCATGGGACTCCTGGCTCAATGGAAACCCTATCACCAACTTTCAAATTGTCTACTTCTTCACCAACCTCTAAAATTATCCCAGCAGCTTCATGTCCCAAGACACAGTTACCTAAAACCTTTAAATCTCCAATACATCCTTTCTTCCAAAAGTGGATATCCGAACCACATATCCCGGTTGCTTTCACATTGATCAAAACCTCACCTTTAGAAGGTTTGTTGATCAGGGATTGTCTAATCTCAATTCTATGATCTTTGGTTACTTGGAGCGATAAATTTTCGCATCCCACAGTCATATTCTAATACGTATAACACACAAAATTTCCAAAAAAAAAATTTTATGTCTTCGTATCCAATATATAACAATTCTTATCAGATCAAATAACATAAAGCCTATAGGTGGGGAAGTAAAGGAAAATTAGTTATAAATTAACCGCAACTATAACCGCAACTATAACCGCAAATATAACCGCAAATATTACCGCAAATATATAACCGTAATATAGTCGATAGTATCGGAAGTAGTCGCAAATAAAAACCGCAAGCAGTTGCATAGTCGCATAGTCGCGAAACAGTCGCATAGACAGTCGCATAAACAGTCGCAAAAAAACTCCGCTTAGGTTGCGTTTGAGAAATACGTAGAATGTTGCGAAAGGATGAAACTATAAATACGGCAGCCTACGGTTTTCATTCTATTATTTGAAGTCATATTAAAAGTTTTTAAGTAGCGAAGAAATAAAAATGACTGTTGCATCGAAAATTAATGTAGGTGGGAGGGTTGAAGTTCATGAGAGGGTCCTAAAAGTGTTTAGGGTACTTATTGCAGATTTAGTTCAAAACTATGGTGGTGGACATCCAGGAGGAGCTATGGGGATGGCTGCTATAGGTATTGCTCTTTGGAAATATGTGATGAAATACGCCCCTAGTGATCCGAATTTCTTTAATAGAGATAGGTTTGTTTTGTCTAATGGACATACATGTTTGTTTCAGTATGTTTTCCATCATTTAGTAGGATATGAACATATGACTATGGATCAGTTGAGGAGTTATCATTCTTCTGATCCAGAGTCTTTTTGTCCTGGGCATCCAGAGAATGAACATCCAGGAATTGAAGTTACGACTGGGCCACTAGGTCAAGGTGTTGCTAATGCTGTGGGTTTGGCAATCGCTAGTAAAAATATGCAAGGAACTTATAATAGGCCTGGATACTCTATTATTTATAACCATACATATTGTATGGTAGGTGATGCCTGTTTACAAGAAGGAATAGCTTTGGAGGCAATTTCATTAGCAGGACACTTAGGTTTAAATAACCTTACAGTGATATATGATAATAATCAGATTTCATGTGATGGATCTGTAGATTTAACTAATACAGAAAACATTAATGAAAAGTTTAAGGCCTGTAACTGGAATGTAATAGAGGTTGAGGATGGTTGTTATGATGTCGAGGGGATTGTGAATGCTTTAGAAATGGCAAAGAATTCATCAGATAATCCTACATTGGTCAATATTCACACAAGTATTGGTGTTGGATCGAATGTGGAGGGAAAGGCCGCAGCTCATGGTGCAGCTTTAGGTGAGAAGGAGGTTGATAGATTGCATACAGTGAATGGTTTCAAAAAGGAGGATAAATTTTATGTACCAAGTGATGTCTATAATTTTTTTAATGAGGCCACTCCAAAAGGGGAAAGACTTATTCAAGAATGGAATGATTTGGTTGTCTCATATGGTAAAGAATATCCCGAACTAGCTAAAGACTTCTTGAGAAGAGTGAGAGGTGAATTGCCAAATGATTGGGAAAGTTTAATTCCGAAAATGTTTCCTAGTAGCCCTACAGCGTCTAGAAAATCTAGTGGTTTAGTTATTAACCAGGTTGCAAAAGAAGTGAATAATTTTTTTGTTGGATCGGCAGATTTATCTCCATCTGTGAATTTGGTTTGGCAGGGAAAGAAAGATTTTCAAAACCCAAGGGTAAAGGTATCATGTGGTGAAAATGGTGATTATTCTGGGAGGTATATTCATTATGGTATACGTGAGCATGCAATGGCTGGTATTGCAAACGGAATTGCTGCATTTAATGAAGGTACTTTTATTCCTGTGACATCGTCATTTTTTATGTTTTATTTGTATGCAGCTCCAGCTGTGAGATATGGTGCTTTATCGAAGTTGAAGGTAATTCATGTTGCTACTCATGATTCAATAGGTACTGGAGAGGATGGGCCGACGCATCAACCCATAGAATTAGCAGCTTTATATAGAGCCATGCCGAATGTTAATTATATTCGTCCATGTGATTCAGAAGAAACGGCTGGTGCATGGGAAATTGCAATTAAGTCGCAGGGTATACCAACAATTATTTCATTATCAAGGCAAAGTTTGCCACAGTATCTTGGGATGTCAAATCGATCTTTAGTTAAAAAAGGTGCTTATGTCTTTCAAGAAATGGAAGATGCGGTTTTAAATCTTATAGGAGTTGGTGCTGAGTTGAACTTCTCTGTTGAAGCAGCAAAAATATTGAAAGAGGAAGGAATTAAAACTAGAGTTATATCATTTCCTTCCCAAAACTTATTTGAATTGCAATCGGCTGAGTATAAACGTTCTATATTGAAGAGCAGACAGATTCCAACCGTAGTTGTAGAAGCTTTTGCCTCAAACGGTTGGGAAAGATACGCAACTGCAGGTATTAATATGAAGACATACGGGAAATCCTTGCCGGGTGCTACAGCTTATGAGTATTTTGGTTTTAATTCGATGCTTATCGCTACTAAAATTAAAAATTATTTATCAAGATGGAATAAGGAACATGACATACGTTATGAGTTTTGTGACTTGAATTAATATATACTGAATTTTATGAAATAAGTAATGTGAGCCAATGTAAGTGATGTATATTTGTAGAAGATTAGCTTCGAGATATGAAAGCAAGCTAAGGTGGAAAGAGCAAAGGGAATATATATATAAAAATTAGTGTATTGTTAATGAGAATGACAATAGATTGGGCCATCGAATACCAGGAGAATGTTTGTATGCTGCACAGGTAGGGCGAGTTACGTCTTCTAGTATTTTATACACTTCGGCTTTATTGGAATTGGAAACTATTAACATACGTATATTGTATTACAGGAGTACAACACATATTAGCCTACATATGTAAAGTTTACTCTGCTTTCCATGTTATATTTTTAATATCTGTTATATCCAAAATTATTATTTTTCTCGAATCCAAACAGCCTGATTGTTTTATCAGTTTATAAGTTTTGCGATTATTCATTTTGGCGACAATATTCTTCTAGAATTCAATTTGTAACATTGAAGACTTGCAAGTGATGCCATTATTTTTGTGACTATAGAATATATCAAAATGTAGTCAAAATTTTTCTAATTCTTCAACCTAAAAGCTTTATAAATGATAAGATCTTTGTTGTATTGTTGATGATATGCAATCTAACATCCATATTCATATTAACTATTAGCGAAAAATAGTTCCTTAGTTTTAATTTATGTAGCTGTTTAACCAGCCGGGAATTTTATTTGAAATTAACTTTTAGCTGTCTTCTAAGTAGGGCTCATTCTTAATTATTTCATTTGAGCTAATATTGCTAAGCTTCATTATCGGGGTTATGATCAATCAAGTTCAGTTATTATAAATTTCTATTTTTGACTTCTCTCGCGTCTTCATTCTCTCACCCGAAAGCCCACTATAGAAATTTCTCCAAGGCAACATCGTTTACCTAGTTTTTTTCAGCATACATCAAGGTTCTCAGTTTCTACAACTACTAAAAAAATGAAAAATGTTTCTTGTATTCGTAATAATCTTTAGTCTATTAAGCTTTTGTATTGCTGTTAGAGAAATATGTAGCTACATCCAACAAAATATTGTCAATGAATCTGGAATATATTGGTCCGCATCCTATATACCTCCAGATGGTACTACAAAGTTATCACAGTTGTAACTCGAGTTGCATAGAAATCTTGCATTTTCAATTATTTCCACTGATTGATGGCTGCCATCATTCCAATAGATAAAAATCATCATTATAATATTCCAATTATTGAACTTCGGAATACTTGCTAAAGTATAATCCGATAAGCTTAAGATTAATAATCATATCATGAAACAATACTTATCTGTTGAGGGATAAAATTTTGCAGGGCTTAAGCGTAAAAATTATAACCGGGTAGATAATCTTGTAACGCATTAACGAACTTACCTGATATGTCGGCAAAAAATTCCTAATTAAGTATACGATTTTTGTTATTGAAATCGGAATAAATAAAACCTGATTTTGAAGCGATTTTTATTATTATTGATACAATCATTAGTCAGGGTTATAATTATGTAGTATTATAATATTTTGTAGTATAAACATACTGACTTGCCTCGGAAGGTTTTTGAACTGAGTTGTTACATATAGAGAGATAAACTAGGTTGTATTGAAAAAAGGACTTTTCTAGTATAAGTGGGGAATGGCTATTTATATACAGTACCAAATTATCTATCATATAATTTAAATACGTACGACACAATCTATATTAACAATTATCAGCAAATATACTTGTTCTTTCTCTTGTTTATTTTTACTACTAGATAATGGTGCTGGAACACGCGATCCAGAAACCTCGAAAAAAGAGAGCTAGAACTGGCTGCTTGAACTGTCGGAAAAAACATAAAAAGTGTGACGAGAACAAACCGATATGCTCTTCATGTTTGAAAAAATCTGAAGAATGTGAATGGCCTATTAACAATGGTAGATTCAATAAAAATTCAGTGAGTGATGTTGCTGGTAATACTGCTCAAAGTAATGGTAGACGAAACTTGGAAGAGTATGCTAGTCGTTTACTCAAAAATTTCCATGACAAATCGGAGAATTCTTCTTCAGAATCTAATAGTAACTCAAATGCATCATCTATATTTTCAAATACGAAACCATCAATGGATGCTTCTGGATCTGGGGACCTTGTCTTATCAAATAACAAAGCCGATAATGAAACATTACGTTCCATGATGAGCGCAAATGAATCTTCTTTGCACCACATATTAGACAACAATTCCCCAGTAAATGAAGGAATAACAAATCAATTGGAGCCAAAATCCAATGAAAGAAGATCAAATGAGCATGTAAATACTGATAAGGCGGTCGATAATACGTCACCTTTCAATACGAATGTGAATCCAAATGAAAGCAAAAATATACCAACTTATTTCAGTCCTAATTCAATTCAAAGTAATATCAAAGAATCAAATATAGACGGATCGCCTGAATCATTGCGAGACAATAAGTCCTCTTACTCATTCTCTCCTACTGATTCCTCGGCGCCATTTTTACTTTATAACGAGTTGCATAATACTTTAAGAGATTATATGTTTACAAGTGCTGAATTAAATGAGTTTAGTACAACTGCAGACTTCAATAATATTTCATGTTCTCCAGGTACTACATTTTTGGCCAGAGATTCCAGTAAAAATCTCCGGGAACTATTAAACAGTTCTACAAGTGATCCCAAGAAGGATTCGAATATAAACTCACCTGGTGTTGTGAACAGTGGCATCACGAAAGAGAACAATATTTTAAATAGCTTCAAAACTGAACTTAACCCAAGTGAGGAACTCGAATTATTCAAAATTTATTTATATGAAGTTGCTCCGTGGTTAGATATGTTTGATAGTTCTAAGCAGTTTGGTACTACGGTTGCAGACCTTGCACAGAGTAACAAGCCTTTGCTCTATGCTATATATGCTATATCATCGAGACAGAAGGAGCTAACAGCACCAAATTACCCTGCAGAGAAGACAATGAAATTATATCAAGAATCGTTGAAGCACTTGATTCCCACAGTCAACAAAATTGTCGATAAAGAAATAATTTCAACATGCGTTATATTATGTGTCCTTGAAATGATGTCATCGTCTCCGAAGGAATGGCGACATCATTTAGAAGGTTGTCACGCATTATTTGAGGCCAATGATATATGTGGTTTTAGTGATGACTTAGAAAGGAGACTTTTTTGGTGCTATGCAAGAATGGACGTCAACTCCGCTGTTATAGGTGAGCAATCTACGATAATACCTTCAGAAAATTGGCTTCGCAAAAATTGTTCTATTTACGAACTGAAGCGCTTATTCGTTGAAACCAACGATGAGGATATGTATGCGAATTATATTGTATTTTTATGTTCGAGAGTTTTAAATTTGATAGCGAAAGACTCGAAAAATTTCGAACAAGAATGGGAAATTTTATGGAATGAGGTTAAAGAATGGAGCGAGAATAGACCATTCCATTTAAAACCAATAATGACTTATGATGATAAACCATTTCCTGGTGTTTTGTTTTTAAATGGGCCTGCCATTTCGGCTAATCAATTGTTTCATATGGTGATTATATTATTAACCCAGAATAAACCAAGATTATATAAAATAAGGCCTTCATCATGTATTGTATGTCAAACTTTGTTCCTTTTTTATGTTGTTAATTATATGCAGCTACTAACGTTACTATTAGAGATCCACCATATGGCATGCAAAACAGATTTGCGCAATCAGTATACATAATAGTCATCAGTAAGTGGTTTTATTTTTTTTTTCAATCTAACGCTCATATTTACTAACCATTACATTTAGCGGGTGTTGGAATAATGCCCTACAACCCTTGTGGATAGCTGGAAAACTATTGAGTAGCGACCATGAACATAAAATAATATTGGATTTATTGGATAAAATTGAATCAACCACTGGATGGCAAATGAAATTTAGGAAGAAAGACTTGAATAGGTATTGGAATGGGTTATTTGTTGAATGAACTTATTAATATTGTATACTTTATTGTTTTGAATAATGAGGTTTGAGTTTAAATTCACAAACCCACGAAATTGATACTCTTCCTTTTGACTTGAAGCTTTTAACATAAAATATTGTTGAGATTTGTGTTTTGAATAGCAAATAAACATAATCAAGTATTGATTTATACATCAAGAGTTGTCATGTTTTAAAAATATAATGGATATCGTAATAACTCAGGCAATATTGTACTATTCATAGATTATTTATTATAATAGTCCAGCTATAAATACTAATTCTAACTCAGTTATTATTAATATACTCTGAACTATGCGTAGTGTACAAAGTTAGATAGTATCTAATGATCACCAAGGAATTTCGCTTCCATCATAACTAAGAAACTTACCATTATCACTAGGACTCAATTTATTGAGAATAGCCAGTAATGCTGTAGCGCTGAATTCAGGAGTGATCGAGTACTTCTCAATCATTTCCTTCAAATAGGGGCTTTCAGCAATAAGGGTTTCATTACCACGCTTTCCAGTATCAGTGGAAACTTGTCCTGGATGAACAGCTACAACCGTAAACCCCTTATCAGCCAATTCAACACTGATTTCTTTCACTGTGTAGTTTAATGCAGCCTTAGACTGTCCATATGCAGATACACTGAGACCAATATACCCTCCAGTTGATCCAAGTGCACTCGATACAAAAACAATTTGCTTTGCATCTCCTCTCTCCACTAGTTGATAAAATGCTTGATACAAGAAGACTGCTCCAAGAACATTTGTCTGCCAATGCTGCACCCATGTTTCTTCTTTGGTGTCCAATACACTTCCAAATGCATCAGCAAATCCAGCGTTTGCAATCAAAACATCAATCTTTCCGACAAGTTTCGAGACTTGTGCCGCGGCTTCTATGGTACTCTCCTTGGACGTAACATCTAACTTTACTATGTGCACATTTTCTTTCTTCTTTGCTAAGTTTTTAAGTTCTGTAGCGGCTTCGGGGTTTCTCGCGGATGCAATCACAATGTTAGATTCATTTTCACTAAGATCTTTGACAAGAGCAAATCCAATTCCTTTGTTACCTCCTGAAATAAAAAATGTTTTTGAACTACTCATGATCTTATATCTTATATTTCTTAAGCCTTACTTTTTGAAATACTTTTGGCGTATGGTAGATTGAACTGAATATATACCCAAAAGTTCGTAATTAATCGGTTGAGAATAACCAAATTCCGAGCTTCAGGGTATCAAGTACTCCATATAAGTTCACCAGGAATCAATTACGAGCAAAAAATTTCATCGCGAGCTGATCAGACAATAACAATTGATTTTGGTGAATTTTACAAAGCAATTATATAGCCTTAGCTAAGCGATGTTAACTAGCTCATATAATGTTGCCCGTTTCAACGGCGTCATTATTGAGCTCACAACGTCGATATTTCGTAAATTTTAATCATAATTTCCACTCTTGCTACGTCTCGGAATGAACTTGAAATCAATTGTCTTACATAAATAATTGTGCTATGCTTCAAAAATTAATTCATAACTACAGAAAGCAGCGTTAAGCACCAGTCGGATTATAGAGTCGGATAGATTTTAACAATATACGAGTTATGGGATTTGATACCGTGGTTTGCGCGAACATTTGATTACGAACTCTACGCCTTAGTTAGCGCAGACTTTCGGAGAATAGACCTATAGACCTGTAGTAGATGTAATCATTTGACAATACTAAAGGTAAAACGAGGTACATGCATTGACACAAAGCAGCTTGAGGTCTATCTGTTCGTATTTAAAAGTATATTCTATACAGAGATCACATTAATATATATTGTTCTAGATATGTTATATCCTAGGAAGGCAATGAAACAAGGAGCTCATTCTCCTCAGCGTCATTGGAAAATTGCACTCTAGGCTTATATACTTGTTGGTCTGTATTCTGCACATTTTGAAAATCATTATCCGAAGGCAAATAAAGTGGCTTTTCCCATCTATTACTGTATTTTTTATAATCCCAAATATTTTTAGACGATGCGTTTTCACCTTCACTTCTACTTTCCTTGACCTTATTTTCTAAATCTACGATCTCTTCATCTCCCTCGCTTTCTTCGTTATCTTTCATTGAGCTACCGACGTGCTTCTCAACCATGGTGACTTTTCCATCCTTTATAACCATTTCAACGGCTCTGTTACCTCTGCCGGATCTGGCTTTCTTAACCCCGTCATGTTTGCGAAGTTGTTTTTGTTGTTTTTTTAAATGCAATGCTCTCTCCATCGGTGACAACCACATATTTCCACTGTTTGAATTTGGCATTTCGAAGTCTGAGGCATTATCAATGATCTTAGTCCTTTCTGCACCAGTCGCTTGGAATGTAAGCAATGTCTCTAATCTTTCCTGTGCCTTCACTAATTCTGGATTTATTTTGCTAGTTTCTTCATAATGTTGCAATTCCTTCGCCTGTTGTGCAATCTCGTCTCTTTCTCTTTTTATCTTTTCTAATAATTCCTGATCCTTTTTCTTATCCGCCTCCATTCTCTTTAATGCTGTGTCTTGTGCCCTCCAAAGATTCTCTCCCGCGTTTAATGTAACAACAATTTTCTTGCTCTTGTTTTTGGGGTTAGAACCTTGAGTATGATCTTGTGGACTTTTGCTTCTGGAAGAGTCTTGTTTATTTTCAATACTAGTCTTTTCTTCCCTCAATAAATTTATTATTTCACACTTGTCTTTGAAAGACAACAACTCCTTTTCACAGAACGAACAAGGCTGTAGACCTTCCTTTGCACAAATAATCTTACCACAGTTCAAGCAATTAGGTGCTACCTCAAACAACGGATGCCTTCTACCCATGCAATTACATTTCTTTCTAACAATACTTGAAGACTCCATGTCAATATCATCCCTGGATGATAATTCTAGATCATTCAAGACGGCTTCAATATCTTGCAAGTTGTCAATTTTCTTCTTCTTAGAACCTTTGCTTTGTTTTGCGACAGGCGAAGGAGATTTCAAATCAAGTAATTCAGATGTCGTCTTAGAAGTCTTATTATTTTCCAACCGTCCTTTTTGTTTATGATCTACTGACTCGGACGGCGTAGAAGTCCAGGCTTTATGATTTTTCCCGGTTGTCAGTGATGATGGTATATGTGCCGATTCTCCCTTGGTCTTACTACCTAAATTTTTCACATTAGCCAGCTTAGCTGAATCGTCAGCTTCTTTTTTTAATGTCATGAACTTAGTTAAGAATGCTGAAGTTTCATCGCTTTCACCCAACAAGTTTAAGAAGTGAGCTTGTATTTCATGATCCGTCGGTAAGGTCAACGCATAATCAACCAATTCTCCACATGTTTCACGATCAATGGGTAGTATATTAGATATTGCATTAGCCGAATAGCTCTTTAATTTAGTATAATTCATAATAGTGAATAAGGAAGAGGGTATTTTATATATAACAAATATTCTTCTACTAAATATGGTTATGTTGCTCTGATGAAAAATCTCATCTTTCCATAATTTTTTAGACTATGATCAGAGGTATCATTATATTCCTTACTCTTACTACACGATGTCATCAGTACCAGATTCAGATGAATTAAAGGCAAAATATGCAGAAATAGCTGCATTGAAAAAGGCTATAAATGAAAAGAAAGAGGAAAAAAATATACCTGGCCCATTAACAGCTGGTTATGAAGGGCATTATTATGGTAATATAAACGAAAATAGAGGTGGATACAGGGGTGGATACGGAGGTGGATACAGAGGTGGATACAGGGGTGGATATAGAGGTGGATACCATAATCATCCGTATAGTGGAGGGCATATTAATAGTCATAGCAGGGGAAATATACATCGAAATATGACCGTTGTATTCAACGGCGCCAATACTAACGATAAGAATAGTGAAGTCTCAAAAAACGATGAATCTAATGCAACAGAGCCAAAATACGTTTCATCTGTATCGAAAAGTGGAATGTCATTAGTGAGCTCAGATGTGTATGAAAAAGACAAAATCAAAATGATTCAACGCAGTGAGAATGCGAAACAGTTGCAAGACCAGATTAAACAGAAGAAGAAAACCAATGCCATCAGAACTAGAGTATATAAAAATCAAAATAAAACAGACAGTTATGATCGAGTGAAAGCCGATGGTGATATTTTTGCAGTAACCAATAATGGTGATGACTTAATTCTTTTGTCAATTCCTACAGGTGAAAAACCGAAAACAGTTGTTTGGAATAATAAAAACTACACTAGAAAGATAAATGGTGATTTGAAGAGTCAGGCTCCTCATCGTGGCAGGTATGTCGTATTCAAATGTTTTATCTTATAATCCAATACTAACTCTAACTAGGGTTCCCAGCGACCAATGCCGCTATTTTACCAGAACAGGTGAGTATTTTTTCTTCTTTGTACTTAATTTTCAAGTATAATTCAAATCTTTGAATACTAATTAGTCACTACGTTCTTTCAAACCTTTCAACTTGTAATAGGCTTATGTCAGAAAGGTTCAAGCTGCAAATACAAACATGATCAAAACCACATCAAATTGTGTCGTCAATATTTATCGAATAATTGCCAAAATAAGAATTGTCTATTGTCTCACTCTCCATCCCAGTATAATACCCCCCTTTGCCGTTATTTCTTGGAAAATAAGTGTGTCAATCCGCAATGCACATATGAACATGTTTTCCCAAAGAATTACGATAAACCAAACTATGAAATCTGGGTATGTCGACCTTTTTCTATTGGTGGTTCCTGTTCTCGAGGAAGAAAATGTCCATTCATGCATTTGTTTGTATGCCCTGATTTCCAAGAAAGCGGCACTTGTCCAAGAGGAAAATCGTGCACTTTGGCGCATTCTGCAACTTTAAGTACCCAGAGGCTGATGCTATCGAAAGACAAACTGGAAGCAGACACGGAAGTTCTTATTGAGAGTGACACCGAAGAGAGAGACCCAATCCGCCAAATTATCAATAGTTACACTATTGATCCGTCATTATTATTTGAGACTAGCAGAGACGGAAAATATGATATATACATTGACAATGATGGATCTGGACCAAAGAATCCTGCAAAAAATGAGGCAAATAGTAACACATTTAAAGAAAATTCTGAGTTCATGATACATTTAGATTCAGACAGTGAACAAGAAAGAGAAAACAATTCTGCTCGAGACTCGAATGAGAGTGAACTCGACGATTTACAGGAAAATAACGATTATATAGAATTCTGATGGGCAATTTTAACATAAACAAAAAAATTTTGAGATTGCACCAAAATAATACAAGAGAATAAAAAAGAGACATCAACTAATCCTTTATAGAGCAAAGACTAATAAATATACTATCTACCTTAATGAATTGTAGAACTTTGACAACATATCTGATTGTTATCTTACGTTTGTAACTTTTATTATATATCGTGTAAACTATGTTTAGAAATGCGGTCAGTTAATGCTCGGTTAGAAAAGTGTTGCAAAAATTCATTTGTGGATATCAAACTTATAAAAAAGTATAAATTGTTCCAACAATAATTGTTTTCTAATGTTTTACTTGAATGCCTATTTTCATATACCTCAATTAGTTTCATTGTTTCATATATTGAAGTTAATAATATTATATTTATATTTAGGTCAGCCTATATACTCAAATTTATATTATAATTGTGATAAGCCAAATTAAAATAATTAGCCGCCTTTTGAAAATTATGATGGAGAAAGTCACCTTCAGCGTTCCAGTTGTTAAAAAGCGTGTGATTCCAGCGGATATCAATAATCCACCCAGTGAGATTCCATTGAAGTCGTTTGGCGACCATTATCAAGCTATAAGTAGTCTTGGTAATGGAAGTTTTGGATCGGTTGTGTTGGCAAAGTACAAGAAAGATCAAAAGAACCTTTTAAAAGTAGATGTGAGAAAAAGGGGAACACTTATAGATCCTTTGGAAGAATCAGATGCTCATCTCAGTTGTTTAGTTGCAATTAAAACAATGAAGACACCACTCAGTACTTTAAATGAAGCAACAACTGTCAAAGAAGTTAAATTTATTCTCCGAATACCTTCTCATCCTAGCTTGGTACAGATATATGATATGTTCATTGATAATAAAGAGTTCCACCTCCATATTGTAATGGAGTCGATGAATCAGAATTTGTACCAGCTAATGAGAGCTAGAAAGAGAATTAAGTTTTCACCAGCCACCTTGAAAAGTGTTTTGACACAACTTTTGGAAGGAATTCGCCATATCCACAAGTACGATTATTTCCACCGAGATGTGAAACCAGAGAATATCCTTATTATGCCCACGCTGCAATATTATGGATCACGAGAGAACATTCCTCCTAATCGGAGGGGTGATAACTACGTATTGAAACTAGCTGACTATGGTCTAGCACGTCATATAGGCAATCTTGGCAAGTACACTTCTTACGTTGCTACAAGATGGTATCGCTCGCCTGAAATATTATTAAGGAGAATGTGGTATTCCAAACCTGTTGATATGTGGGCTTTTGGTACAATTGCCGTCGAGGTTGCTAACTTCATACCGTTGTTTCCAGGAGCTAGCGAAGTTGATCAGATTTGGAGAATCTTAGAGGTGCTTGGAAGTCCGACTCTTCCAAGTTTTGGTACGCATATGCACAAGGGGCATTATTACCCACCTTTAGGTGGCTATTGGAAAGAAGCTCAACTATTATCGTCGAGGATGGGGTTTAGTTTACCCTACACTGATGGTGTTCAAATCTGCAATCTTATACCTGATTCAGTATCTGAGTTGGGTGAGGTTGTCAAAGCATGTCTTACTTGGAACCCTGATGTGAGAGCTGATGTTGAAACTGTTTGTGCTATGTCATACTTCAAGAACACCTCAGTTTCAAAAGCGTACAAAGAGCCAGAAAGACCTAGTAATAAAATGGCAAGGCCATCACCTTTGAAGGAAGTGAACGGCTCTTTTCAGATGTTTTCTGGAATACAGCCATATAAGATGTCGTTAAATGAATTCAATAACAAAAAGCGTATGAGGAATAGCTCGAGCTTTGAATCCCAGAATTCTTATACACCACAGTACAACAATGAGAATTATTTGAGTAATTCTTTTAATCAAATGAAAAGTAATGCCATACTGAAGACAGAATTCCAAATACATGATGATTTTGATGACGGATATGAAAAGGAATTTATGAAGGAGTACATAGGTAAGCAAGCAGGAAATTGTAATTCCCAAGGTAGAGATCTGTTTGATTTTGAAAATAAATGCATCAAGAATATCGGGGATGGCAACAATATAACACCCCGGGCCATAAATAATACGCCTCCAGAACTTGCAGAAGAATACTGTAACGAGAGTTTTAATTTTTATGATTTAAATTATTCAAATAACGAGGGAGATGCAATAATAACCGAATACGATAGTGAAAACACCTATTCAAAAAATGACCATGATTACTCTTGGGAAGGGTTCAATAATCTCGATATTACCAATAATGATTCGGTAAATAATACCGAACAATACTTCCCAAATAACTTAGCAGCTTTAAAGGAGCCTCTTGAAGACGAGTTTGGTATAATAGCAGATATATCATTCGGAAGTAGTCATGGGATTAAATGTTGAAAACATCAGGATAGATAGTAAAATTTCTGTTGAAAGCTCAGTATTACGCAGATACTAGTTTGATTTATTAATAAGTGTCTACCCATTTCATACTTTTACAAGAAATTTACACATAGTATAATATACCGAATAATTTAATAGGCGAACAATATTCTTAATTGTATAAATTGCAAATAAATGATGCTCAAGAATTAAGTTTTGTCGTGTATATAGTACCCCACGCAAACTCGTATCAGGCATAAATAGACCCACTTCCTAAAAATCATATGTCTTAGAATTTATCGCTTCTTTATAATAGTTTGTCTAGTTATATAATAGAAATGTGTATCTTAATATCAAGTATCGAACATCCCGATTATCCATTCATTTTGTTGTCTAATCGGGATGAATATTTTAAGAGACCCACCCAAAGGGCGCATTTCAAAGATTATGATGGGGTAAGAGTATTATCGCCCCTAGATTTAGGTAGACGAGAGCATGGAACATGGATCGCAGTAAACACAGATGGTAAACTAGCAGTGTTAGTTAACTATCGTGAAAAGAACAATAAAGGTAAGTAACCATTTATCATTGTAAACCGAAGCTGTTATTAACATATGTATAATAGACCAGATAAGTGAAATATCACGAGGGGTACTTCCATTACAATATTTAATATCTGATGATTTGAATGAAGAATGGTATACGAAGTTAAACAAATTAATTTCTGAAAAACTTCCTCTGGGAATTCTTGATACCGTGGATGATAACGTATTAAGTAGGATTGGTGGGTTTTCTATCTTATATGGCCAACTAAACATAAACGAAAGTACAGGAAAAATAGAACCTTTAAACATTTTGAGTAACAGGGGTGATGTTGGAAAGATTTTTGAAACCAATGGAGATACATCTATTAGCGATGATATAGAGATTCAAAAAACATTTGGATTATCAAATTCTTTGTATAACGATCCTTGGAGAAAAGTAGAATTGGGCCAAAAAATGTTGAAAGAAACAATTCAAAAATCAGTCAAGGATAACTATACACATGATCAACTAATTGAAAGTTGCTTCGAAATATTGAGCTACGATACCTATAACAGAAATGTTGCAAAGAATGGTACGCCACATGAAGCAATTCTTGAATTAAGGAATTCTATATACATCCCACCTATAGAGCTAGGTACTGTCAATCAGCTCCCCGATAGTTCTACTGTAGGTAAATTTTATGGCACTCGGACTCAAACAATTATTAGTCTAGATAAAAAGGGCAACATGCACTATTACGAACGGGACATTCATAGTTCTGATTCCATAGACAAAAATGTAAAATCAAAGACTAATCATTTTCAATTCAATATTTCAAACAAATAACAATTAGCCTACAAGTTGTGATATCACACATTCTAAAAGACATCATGATTTGTAGCTATTGTTGAATACCGCTTATAAATTTTTTGTAACAGAAACAGTTTCATACTTATTATATATTATAATAAAACATCATTAAAATAAAACAATTGCTTGAAAATATATCAAACATAATTATGGACAAGCTTTAGAAATTGTAAGGTCCATGTATAAATCCTAAAACAGAAGATCCCATTAAATTAAGTGTTAAAATACCTAACGCATTATGCCGCATTGAATAAGTTTTTTTTATTATTATTTTGAGAATCCCTGCTACGTATTTATACCATAGACAATACTTCCCAAATTCAATGTCTTTGAAAACGTTCCCTCATGAGGAGTACACCTCGATATATCACAAGAACCCGCTCCAGCATTCTACATCTGTTCGTCCGTTGTTAGTTTTAATTCCCGGAAATCCAGGCTTGGTTGATTTTTATATTACTTATTTGAATTTAATCCAAAAAAGGTATCCTAATCTTGAAATATTGTGTATTTCTCATGCAGGCTTCAAATCTGATGTAAATACTATAGATGATGATTCAGTTTTCACATACTACAATTTAGAATTCCAAATAGAACATAAAATTGACATTCTTAAATACTTCATTTTAAATGAAAACAGAAACACTGAGTTGTATTTTCTATCACACTCTGTGGGATCTTATGTTAACCAAAGAGTCGTTCATCGTTTGTTGAATAATAGCGAGCTTCAGAACAAAATGGATATAAAGTTTCTTGGGTTAATTTGTCCAACAATTATAGATATTGGCAGATCCAATTCAGGCCAAATTATAACAAAAATGTTTGCATATCTACCAATAATTCAAATTGCGATATGTTTATCTGTTCTTATAAATTCTCTTTTTCCTGAATCTTTTGTCAAATTCGTGGTCAAGAATGTAGTAATTGACAAGTCCTCATCTACGGGAGAAGAATCACAGGAATCAATAGAGAATTCGACTATAGGCGCGTTGAAAATTTTCAAGTCTAAGAATATTATCAAGCAGGCTTTGAACTTGGCGAAAGAAGAAATGAAGACAATTCTCAAAGACGATGAATTTAATGATTGGTTCTTCAAAGGTTTAACATCGAAATATGATATACGAATTTGGGCATATTTTGCCCACGCTGACCACTGGGTTCATGATACTACTAAGGACTATATATTAGCTAGATATCATAGTGATAGCAACAAGAAGTTGTCATTTGAAATAGGAGATATTGAAGATTCTATAACGCATAGTTTTTGTGTTAATGAAAGTATCGAATTTTCACAGATAACAAGTGAAAAACTAAGCGATCTTTTGCCATAGTGTATATTGTATGAAAATCTGCAGGAGTTATTACTTCTATTGTTCTTTCCTTTGACGACTTTTTAGTATATGTATAATTAACGATAGGTGATACGAACTGCAATTGTAAATGACTCGTAGTCATCGAGAGCGCACGAAAAAAAATTTGGCAGACGATGATTCATTAATCATAAAAAATATTGAATCATCTTGGGTATAGATGAATTTGGGAGTCCAACAAATTATAGCAGAATTACTCTACAAATATATAAAGAACTGAAAATTCTTAAAGCATATTTCGAATTTATAGTAAGTTAATACTAATGGTATCGAGTGTAGAATCAGTTCATAGCGAACAAGATAAATTTGCAAACATTCAAAAATCAAGTCAAGATAGCTTTCAAAATATTGACAATGAAGAATATTCATTAAGTACTGATCATACTGACGGCGCTGAATATAAAAAGCAGTTAGATAAGATATACAGGAAGCTAGATTTTAGAATTATTCCAGCATTGTGGTGTTTATACTTCTTAACGTCATTTGGTTCGAATTCTTATGGGCTAACATTAACTATGAATTCTGAACAGGGCCATTCTTTGATTCAAGAATTGAAATTAAGCTCTAAGGATACCTCGACTGCATCGGCGCTTTATTATGTTGGTTATATTATATTTGATGTTCCAATGAACTTAATTATGACTAGGGTAAGTCCTCAGTCATGGCTAGCACGAATAGTCATTACAGTTGGATTGGTTTATACCTGTTACCATGTCTTAAGTAATAACAAGGGTGTGATAGCTATTCGATTTATTTCTGGTATGGTTGGAGCTGGTACATGGCCAGGCTTATCTTACTATGTTTCATTATGGTACCCGAACGAAAGGCTGACTAGAAGAATTGGGTATTATTATACTGCCGCCCAAATATCTGCTGCAGTAGCCGGTCTAGTTAGTGCTGGATTTCAAAAAATGGATGGTGTTCGTGGTTATACTGGATGGCAATGGATGTATTTAGTATATGGTGTTATAACAATGGCTACTGGTATTCTGTTACTCTGGTGGCTTCCTGACAGACCATTCAAAACAACAAAAGATTATTCCCAATCTACTAACTTCTTTATTAAATTTTATAATAAGGTTTTTACTCCTACTCATCCATTATCCCCAGAAGAACGTGAAATTCACAGAAAAGACATCGAATCTCGTTACGTTTTGTTGGAATGGACATGGAAAGATGTTGTCCATATTATCACCGATATAAGAATTTGGCCGCTAATTATAATGTACTTTGGAGTTGTTGGAACCGGTTTCGGATTAGCTGTTTTTGGCTCTACGATCATTGCTGTAAACAATCCGAATTTGACCTCAATTCAGGTTTCGTTGCTCTATGCACCAATCTGGCTTTTTGATCTTGGAGGTATCTTATTAATCACTCCGTTTGCTGATAGATATAAGAAATTAAGAGCATTGATGTTCTCACTGGCAACTTTGATTATTATTGTAGGAATGTTTGTTACTACATTTGCTCATGGGTCGTGGAATAAGTATGCTGGTCTACTTATTGCTGGGTTTGGTTTAGGTCCAACAGTGCCAATTTGTATGTCATGGGCTTCAGAAATATTCCAACCTGCTTATGGTGACGTCGGAACTGCTGTGAGCGCAGCATTAGTTAGTGGACTTGGAAATTTGGGCTCGGTTACCGCAACATATGCCTTATATTCTGGTTGGCCAGAAGATAAAGCAAGATTATACAGAAATTCAAATATGATGTTGGTGGTTATGCTAGGAACTAGTATTATTGCAGCCGCCGTCTGCCACCTTCTTAAGGACAAAACTCGACAAAGAAGATAAGGTTCAGACTTTATAAGAAGCTATAACTCCTCCGTCCCCTGTTACATTAAATCCTACTGTTTCGATATTGAGAATAGTTTAAAGAAAATTTAATTTTTAATATTATCGGTAAGCGCCATGTAGATAAATGTAATGTTTTGTCTAAGTAACTAAGTAATTTATAATCTACTAGGAACATGATAATTTCTATTATGTACGTTTGAATTTTGGAATTTTCATAAATTCGCAACCAGAGAAATACTATTATTCGTACACTTGCTTTAATAAAAATGTAATTCAATTACAATACGAAGAAGATTGGATAGCATGATAGGGCAATTTACTTTAATACAAGGTGACATTCTCCTCTTAACAATTCTACAGAAAAAGGTCAATTGATGAGAGTTATTGTTTCATTCTATAGCTTCCGTAACTTTAGGATTTCCGAGAATAACCAATAGTGAATGGATTTCCATATCTTTTGGTATAAGGCTTTTTTCCCTAGTATATTCCAGGTATTCGATACCCTAATATGATCTTTAAAAGAGAAGTTTAGATTCAGTAAATGCGGCTTTAGAGAAGTTCAAAGAAAATAAAACTTGCGATAAGATGATGATCTTTAGAGCCTCAGAACATAATACAGACAGTTATTTAAGTCACAGAATTGTATTTGATAAAATGCCGTAGTTTCGATCTTATTTATTGACCATAAGTTATCAACCGATGTAAAAACGATACAGTATCTCTGACAGACGTTTGCTGGTCTAGTGCGATATTCTGACTAATAATCCCGCAATATATAAGTTCATTTCTTCAGGGATTGGATAACAATCAATTGTCTTTATTAAATAATGCCTGTAAGAAACAGTGCTTGTATACACACAGGGGCTCTTAAACGTGGACAAAGCACTATAGTTAAGTCAATTTCCTATCCAAAGATCAATAATGATCAAATCTTGATCAAAGCTGTTGCATATGCAGCTAATCCTACTGATTGGAAGCACATCGCTGTTAACTGGGGAGGCAAAGGAGCAATTGCAGGATCAGACGTAAGTGGAATTGTTTCAGAAATTGGATCTAATGTTAAAGGGTTTGAAGTGGGTGATATAGTTTCATCATTTATGCATGGAAATTTCACCGAAGCCAGAGGGGCATTTAGTGAGTATGTTATTGCTGATGTAAATACGACAATCAAATATGATAAATCCAACTTCAATTCACAGGCTCTCGAAGAAGGAGACCATAGATCAGATTTTATAAATACGTACGAAGGGGCTGCTTCAGTTACATTGGGACTTTGTACAATTGGTGTTTCGTTTCATTATCACCTTGGAATAAAGATTGATAAACAAGCCAATGCATCTAAATACATTTTGATTTGGGGTGGGGCTACAGGTACAGGTATTTTAGCCATTCAGATAGCCAAGCTCATTTATGGCTTGAATGTTATCACCACTGCATCTTCCAATCATCATAATTTTTTAAGGACATTAGGTGCCGATGAAGTATTTGATTACCATGATCCGGATGTTGTTGATCAGATAAAGAAAGTAGGAAATGCTAACATTAACTACGCATTGGATACTGTTTCAGACACGCAGACTTTTCAATCTGTTTATGATGCTACGGTAGAAACTAAAGAAGTGGCTATTGACAATTTATTATTCTTGAAATTGGACGAAGCTAAGATGGACCCATCAAGAAAGATCACCTCAACATCAACATTGGTTTTTCATGTAGACGGAACAGAAATGAACTTAGATGGTCTGATTATTCCACCAGATATGGAATTGGTGAAAGTCTACAATGACTTCTGGTTCAATGTTCTTCCCCCATACATTTCAAAAATTAAACACGCTGATTTGAAAGTTTTGAAGGCTGGTTTAGAGTCAGCTAATGAAGCCTTGGACTTGTTAAGAGATAATAAAATTAAGGCCGAAAAGATAGTGTTTAGATTATCTGCTTAGCGTGAAAAGCAATAATATATATGACTTAAAACAAAACTACTTAATATTCATTAACTTAAATTCATTTGCTATTTTTTTATCATCTCACATTGTATAACTTTCTTCCATTTATGATTTCTATTTAATTAATATTTGAGCTACTATCAAAGTTTGTGTTTTGTTATGTCAACGTTTTTTTACGATGTTTTGAAATTGAAAATTAAGAAAACATGTTTTGAATTATATAACTTGTAAGCTAGCTCTAAAAACAACCTTTTGACCAGAAATTTTATCTTCTCTTAATAATTCAAAAGCCTGCTTAGCAGTTTCTAAGCCAGACTTCAAAACCTTCAATTTAGAATGCCTCATGTTTGAGATGTATTGTGGCAAGACATTGAACCAAAAATCGTTGTATTCCTCTACTAATTCTGGTGATGAAGGAGAAATCTTATCTCCTAACATGGCGTCTTTTCCATTTACACAAGATACAATGGAAGTTTGGAAAGAAACCTTTCTTGAATCATCAGTCTTAATTTTGTCAGGAGTTAAAAAGAGCAAATTATCAATAGCAACATCCTTAGTATCAGCCGTGGCATCGTACACAGATTGGAAAGTCTGTTCGTTGGAAACGGTATCCAAAGCGTAGTTGATGTTAGCACCACCAGCTTTCTTTATCTGCTCAATGACATTTGAGTCATGGTAATCAAATACTTCATCAGCACCTAACGATTTCAAGAAGTCGTGATGCTTTGAGGAAGCGGTTGTAATGACCTTTAAACCATATGCAAGCTTAGCGACTTGGATTGCTAAGATACCTGTAGCCGTAGCACCACCCCAAATCAAAATATATTTGGAAGCGTTAGTTTGTTTATCGGTCTTAATACCAAGCTTATGGTTGAATGATAGCCCAATTGTAACAAGCCCTAAATTAACCGAAGCAGCACCCTCAAATGTATTAATCGAATCTGATTTATGATCACCAACTTCAAGTGCTTTAGAATTGAACGTAGACTTGTCGTACTTGATTGTAGTGTTTACGTCGGCAATCACATAGTCACTGAATGCTCCTCTAGTCTTAGAGAAGTTACCATGCATAAATGACGAAACCACATCGCCAACTTCAAACCCCTTAACTTTAGAACCAACTTCAGCAACTGTACCACTAACATCAGATCCAGCAAGATCACCTTTGCTGCCGAATTTGAAAACAGCGTGTTTCCAATCAGTAGGATTGGCAGCGTATGCAACAGCTTTAATCAAAATTTGATCATCATTAATTTTTGGATAAGCAATTTGGCCAACTTCGATCAATTGGCCATTACAGTTAATCCAGTAAGAAGAGCAGCTTTGTTAACATGAGACATAATGAATTCAGTACCCTATAAATTAACATTTTGTAAAGTCTTAAATTTAAATGGCAATGGTGTCTTTATATATGTATGAATTAGTTCGAAATTATGTCATGTTCGGAGGCGCATGCAATAATTACAACAGGTTCATACAAAAAAACGTTGAGCTTATTGTGAGCAAATCGAACATAAAAAAGGTGGTTATTAAATTATATAATATTAATAAGCTTATTGAATATACTGTAGTATGAGATCTAATCAATAACATATTTAGTCATACTAAAAATAGGATAATAGCTAAAAGAAAATCAATCATCTCAAAATCTATAATGAGCATGAGAAATACCATTTATTCATTTTACCTTGATATTTGATATTTTCATAGTCTTCCAGACGATACTTTATTGCACCCAGCAGACCATGCCACATTTTGTACGTCAAAGGTAAAATTTCTCGGCTGCGAAAATTAGTAAGCTAAACACACAATTTAAAGACAGCGCAATTTGCAATTGATATTCCAAGTCCAACTTCTCTTGACCAAGTAAACTAAAAAATAAAGTATCTATGTCTCCTCAAGACAAAGTATCACTTCTTACTGGTGCCATTGAAAAAGGCCAATTGACTAGAGTCGGCGAGACTATTTATCCTTCTATAAATGACAATGAAATACTAATTAAGTGTGTTGCGTATGCAGCTAATCCAACAAATTGAAAACACTTGTCTTTGACTGAGGAGGTGAAGGGGCAATTGCAGGCTCAGATGTCAGTGGAGCTGTTGAAAAAGTGGGATCAGGCGTAAATGACTTCAAAGTCGGGGATATGATTTCATTATTTATACACGGGGATTATTTCAAGGACAGAGGTGCGTTTAGTGATTATGTTGTTTTCGACCCAATTACTACCATTAAATAACCGAAAGGGGTTTTAAAAAGGGAACCACTTGAAGTTGGCGTGAAATTTGCGGGTTTAATTGATACTTTGAAGGCTGCTTCGGTTAATTTAGGACTTGCTACGATTGGATTATCGTTCAATCACAACCTTTCTATCAAGGCTGACAAGAAAAAAAAGGCTTCTCAGTATATTTTACTTTGGGGTGGTGGTACTAAAACTGGTATTTTAATCCAAGTGACCAAGCTAGTTTATGGCTTAAGGGTAATCACCACTGCTTCACCAAAGCATCATGATTTTTTAAGATCATTCGGCGCTGATGCAGTTTTTGATTATCATGATTCTGATGTAGTAGATCAGATCAAAAAGGTTGGTGGAGCTAACATTCCCTATGCATTTGATATGGTTTTGATTGACACGAGCTTTCAGCTGATTTACGTCAGAAACCGAAGAAGTCAACTTTGATAATTTAGGATTTTTAAATGCTAGTAGCATCAAAACTGAAAATTCAAGAAGGGTCAGGTTCGAAGCCACATTAATGAATTCACTTACTGGAGAGGATTCAAACTATGATGGCCTTAAGTTTCATTCTAACCAAAACTAGTTTCCACGAATTTTGGTATGATGTTTTCCCTCAATATATTACTAAGATCAAGCATCCCAATTTGATATTTTTGAAGGAGGGTTTAGAGTCTGTTACGAAGGGCTTGAGATTTTGAGAGATAATAAAGTCAGTGGTGAGAAGATAGTTTTTAGGCATCATGTAAGTAAAGTTTCGCTTGAGAATAAATTAAGAATAAGTTAAGCCTCGTTATCTTTACGGTTTAAAGAATGATTTTTAAGAATTGATTTCACTTTCCTTGTACGCAAGTGGCAGCGTTGCTGATGTTGGGGAAGTAAATTATCAATCTTTTCTGTAGACAATCATCTATCGATATCGCATTTGAAAGCAAAATTTTTGATATAGTCTTGCACTACTATGATTACCTATGATTACATGTCTACATGATGTCATATATAGATCGTACTCAAATATACCTGTAATTATATAAATATATTTCTATGATTTTATCAGTTCCAGTGTATATTGCATCTGGTTGTCTTTTGAGCGTAAGTCCGAACTCGAAAATGTTTAGTAATCATTCTATGCATATATAAAGCAACTAATTTAATGAAATTCAAGAATTCTTTACACCAATTTATTAACAATAAATATAAAATATGTCTCAAATTAACAAAGCTGCTATCCTTTCTGGATCATTTGATAAAGGTCAATTGACTGAAGTTGGCGAAATTGCCTATCCAAAAATTAATGATGATCAAATTTTGATTAAAGCTGTTGCTTATGCTGCCAATCCTACTGATTGGAAACACGTTCTTCTCAAATGGGGTGGAAAGGGTGATATTGCTGGATCTGATGTTAGTGGTACAGTTGCTGAAGTTGGTTCTAAAGTTAAGGGGTTTGAAGTTGGCGATGTGGTTTCGTCATTTATGCATGGTAACTTCTCTAAGACTAGAGGAGCATTCAGTGACTATGTGATTGCCGACGTAAACACTACAATCAAGTACGACAAGTCTACGTTCAATTCTAAAGCACTTGAAGTTGGTGATCATAAATCAGATTCGATTAATACATTTGAGGGTGCTGCTTCGGTTAATTTAGGGCTTGTTACAATTGGGCTATCATTCAACCATAAGCTTGGTATTAAGACCGATAAACAAACTAACGCTTCCAAATATATTTTGATTTGGGGTGGTGCTACGGCTACAGGTATCTTAGCAATCCAAGTCGCTAAGCTTGCATATGGTTTAAAGGTCATTACAACCGCTTCCTCAAAGCATCACGACTTCTTGAAATCGTTAGGTGCTGATGAAGTATTTGATTACCATGACTCAAATGTCATTGAGCAGATAAAGAAAGCTGGTGGTGCTAACATCAACTACGCTTTGGATACCGTTTCCAACGAACAGACTTTCCAATCTGTGTACGATGCCACGGCTGATACTAAGGATGTTGCTATTGATAATTTGCTCTTTTTAACTCCTGACAAAATTAAGACTGATGATTCAAGAAAGGTTTCTTTCCAAACTTCCCTTGCATATTGTGTGGATGGAAATGACGTTAACTTGAATGGCTTAGTCGTTCCATCACCTCCGGAATTAGTGAAGGAATATAACGATTTTAGGTTCAATGTTATCCCACAATACGTTACAAAACTCAGACATGCTAACTTGAAGGTTTTGGAGCCTGGTTTGAAAACCACCAATGAGGCTTTGGAATTATTAAGAGAAGATAAAGTGGCCGGTCAAAAGGTTGTTTTCAGAGCAAATTAATGATTAGATACTAGATACTAGATACTAGATACTAGATACTAGATACTCTTATTTTGATGTTTTATGTATATGAAAGATTTTTTAGTAATATGTATTGTAGACGGTTTGGAGAAAGGCTCAAAATTTCGTATCTCATCTCATCTCATCCTCATTTTCTGAAATAAAATACAAATAAAATATCCTAATTTTTCATTTTTTATCCAATTGTATTACAAATATATAGTTATTTACCATGTCTGCTACTGATAAAACCAGCTTACCGTTCACTGAACAACATTATTTTTCATCTTATGACCATTTTGGGATTCATGAAGAAATGTTGAAGGATACTTCCAGAACATTATCATATAGATCAGCTATGTACAAGAACAAGCATCTCTTTAAGGATAAGGTTGTCCTTGATGTTGGATGTGGTACCGGTATTCTTTCCATGTTTGCTGTTAAAGCCGGTGCTAAACATGTCTATTCTGTTGATATGTCAAATATTATTGGAAAAGCCAAAGAAATCGTATCGTTGAACGGTTTTGAAGACAAAATTACATTGTTACAAGGTAAATTAGAAGATATCGAATTGCCAGTTAAAGAGGTTGATATTATTGTTTCTGAATGGATGGGATACTTTTTGTTATACGAATCAATGTTGGATACTGTTTTGTATGCCAGAGACAAGTACTTGGTCAAAGGTGGATTAATTTTACCAGACAAATGTTCGATGTACATTGCCGGTATTGAAGATGCTCAGTACAAGGAAGAAAAGATCCATTACTGGGAAGATGTTTATGGATTTGATTACTCTCCATTCATCGATGTTGCTATGGTTGAACCTTTGGTCGATACCGTCAACAATCAATCCTTGATTACGACTCCACACAAATTCTTTGAATTTGATATAAATACTGTTACAAAAGAAGGGTTAGCGTATCACAAGGACTTTGACTTGAAAGCTATTGACACTGATTTATGCCATGCTTATATCGTTTGGTGGGATTGCGAATTCCCAGGTGACGAAACAGTTACCTTACACACTGGTCCAATGCATCAATACACTCATTGGAAACAAACTGTTTTCTACATGGATCAAGTTCTTAACTTAAAGAAAGGTGATCATATTAAAGGGTCGATTGCTTCCAGACCAAATACCAAGAACCCAAGAGAATTAGACGTTGAAATCAGTTGGAATGTTAAGACTGACTCGAATGATAAGTCAAGAGAAAAGACTGGTAAGTATAATTATTTCATGCGTTAATTCAACCTTCAATTCTAGAATATTTAGCATAATTACGGTACTTCATTTTGTATTAATAGTCAACTAGTATAGTTAACTAAAAAGAGTTTATTTTTCCGCATCATACTATTTGTAAGCTTTTTTTCAGCTTCTTTATCGCAATTGATTTGGTAGCAGTTAATCGAATAGAAAAGATATTTCTTCTCCTAGATGCATTGATTATATGTTTCGTAGAAATATTACACAGCTAAAGCCATTATTAACTAGGAATAGTTTGAAGCAACAATTACCAAGATCTATATCTCAAGCCAAAATGACAAAAAGCGAAGAAGAATGGAAAGCAATTCTTTCGCCACAGCAATTCAGAGTCTTAAGACAACAAGGAACAGAAGCACCTTATACAGGAGAATACAATTCTAAGCCTGCGACAAAAGCTGGAGTTTATGAATGTGTTGGATGTGGAAACCCATTATATAAGTCACTGACGAAATTTGATTCCAATTGTGGGTGGCCTGCGTTCTATGAGGCTATCCCAGGCTCACTCAAAATACTCAAGGATCTGTCGCATGGTATGGTAAGGGAAGAAATGCGTTGTAATAAGTGTGATGGTCACTTAGGTCATATATTCAGAGGTGAAGGATATAAAAACCCTACTGATGAAAGACACTGTGTGAATAGCGTGTGCTTGAAATTTAAAGAATAAATAAACGAAATGAAATACTTCGATTATTGGTATATTTTATATAAATAAAACAGATAGCATAAGGTAATTATATTTAGTAAGGAAAATCTGAGGATTAAGCTAAGAATGGAACGTAGACCTTTCTCTTTAACTTTTTGTAGTCATCACCAAAAGTCTTCAAGTACCTCTTGTGCTTCTTGACAGCCCAGAGCCACATTTGACCGGTGGCAACAGCTAAAAAGACCCAGGATGACCAGTTACCAACCAATAAGGCATAGAACAACCAACTTAAGGATTCAAAGAAGTAATTTGGACACGAGACCCAGTCAAATCCATAGCCATATGGGATGACATAATTCCTGGTATTAGACGAACTCCTTAAGCTAGCCAAGTTCAAGTGGGTAGCAAAGTTTGATAATTCAGCAAATAACCATAAGCCCGCTAATGTGTAATTAACGTAGGCAGGAAAATCGTTGACATGGAATAAAAATTTACGTAACGAGGAAGAGCCATCAGTTGGTGGTCCATAGATGAAGAAGGACAAATTGAATCCTGACAAGATCCAATAATGTGATGAGTTCTTGAGAATGTTGAACACTGGCATGGTAGCGTTCGAGAACTTATGAACAAACACAGTCTCATATTCTCTCTTTAAGAAATGCAACAACACTAACACATATGCCACAAACTGAGTGTGGGTGTGAGTAAAAGAACCTTGGCCGTATATCGAGCTGAACAAATAGAAGAGCGGATGAACTAAAAGAGGGCCAAAGTATTCGATGATAAAAACGGTTCTCCAGGCAATTTGTGGACCCAAGTCCTTGGTGTATAACGTGACTGAGTTAGTTGTTTTGCTAATACCGTTACCACCAAATGTCTTGTTTGCATCTAAAGGAACCTGTTTCCCAGCTGCATCCTTCATTGTAAGCCTGATTCTATCCTTAGAGATGTTTTGAGTCTTGCTAATCAAGCTGAGCAATTGCTCAACTGTCGAATCCACTTCCAATTCATCAGTACTCAATGCCTTCAAGCTTTTAGAACGAGGAATAATCTCAATTGATACCATTTTCAATGCTAAGTTATTTCGATAACTGGACGTTTTGCTATTTTTTTATTTATGTCCCGGTTTATATCCTTATGTCGCGCAGTGGTTTTTCACTCCTATTTGCTTAGACAACGCATCTCCTTTTGTCTTCTACCCTATAATTACCTATTGTACTACCACAGACATTATAACTACATTACAACTACAATACAATGGATGTTGATTCTAAATTAGAGGTTTGTATGTATAAGATTGTACTTCATGTATGGTTAAATGCGACTAACAAATTCTAGCCAACTTGCCAAAAGGAACTACCCAAGATTACGTAGAATCGATATTTCTACCATTTGGAAATATTGTCAGTATTGATATAACTGGTAACAAGGCACTTGTGCACTACGAGGAATCAGAAGATTGTTCTAGTGCTATTGCAAATATGAATGGGTTTGACTGTAATGGAACATACTTAACTGTGAGAACTTCGCGGAATTAACGTTAGATCCGATATCTTCTGGAAGCTTCGATGGAAAATTCGTCGTGTGCCATTGCGAATTAATAACCATGATCAAATGTTGAATCAATCGGACATTTGAAGTATTTTAGTTGTAGGTTCTAATCGAAAAATTTGTTTTAACAGATACTACGTATATTATTGAAACTAATAAAAGAATAAGAAAAATGTCAGATTGGGATTCAGTTACTATTATCGGACAAAAAGCCAGAATTGGTGGTGGCGGACCAAGACAAAATGTTGCTAAAACTCAAGGAGAATTGAATGCAGCTAGAAGGTCAGGAAATGTTGTTGGAACAGAAAAGAAGTACGGTAGTACCAATACTAAGTCCAACCCTGAAGGACAAAGATTGACCAAATTAGATGCTGTTGACGACGTTGTGCCTACCAAGAAGTTAGATATGAATGTTGGTAAGGCCATTCAACAAGCCAGACAAGAGAAGAAATTGACACAAAAGGACTTGGCCACCAAGATCAACGAAAAACCTAATGTGATCAACGACTATGAAGCCGGTAGAGCCGTTCCAAACCAACAATTGTTGGGTAAGTTGGAAAGAGCTTTAGGGGTCAAGTTGAGAGGTAAGAACATAGGTGAGCCATTATTTGCTAAGAAGAAATAAGCGGTGTGTTGCTGGTTAGGTTGTTAATGTCATATTACGGGTATATTACGATTCTTGACTAATGTCAAATAAATGAGTTCCTAAACGATTTTGTGTAGTCCCTGTAGTGACTTGTGTAAAGACCGATAAAAGGTGATAGATTGACACGGACAATAACCACCACTATCTTTTATGTGTGCGTGTCATGTGGCACTAAGAGATTATAATTATCGGGTGGACAGTTCATGGTCCTTTACCTCGTCATTAGCCGTAGATGTGACCCAAGCAGTAATCTGGGAAACATGCCTCGTTATGTCATCATTTGGATATATGTAATTTTGACAACTCTCAATAATTGGTCCCTTGGCCCAGTTGGTTAAGGCGTGGTGCTAATAACGCCAAGATCAGCAGTTCGATCCTGCTAGGGACCAATTTTTTTCTTTTTTTATCATTTCAGCATAAAAAGCAATAATTGTTCCCTAATTAAGCCTTTCCCACTTTTCCCTTATTCTTTTTTTCGTGCCTATTCATTTTCCTTTGCCTATTCATTTTCCCTTGCCTTCTCTCACTTCTGCTCTTAATTGCACGGACTTTTTTCATTATTTTTTCTGAACCATGTCTCCCCCCTCCATTTCGTCGCCAACAGGCGCCGAACCATCATTTGCCACTCGATTATCCTATTTTACGCATGAGAACAAATGTAAATGGACGTAAAATGAGCGAATACGAGAACACGGCGATGTCTATCTAACGCATAACCAGAAACGCCAATGCAACAATCGACCATATCAGCACTTTTAAGGGTCAATTACATAATCAATTAAAAGGTCCGTGATAATAAATTGCCATAAATGTGGTCGCTTGTCGCTTGCGATATCCATTTTATGAGAATGCACGGTTTTTCGAAGCGATATTATGTCGTACTGAGATATTTTGTAATCTCATATCTAGTGACACCCCACAATTCGTTCAAACCTTATCTCAAATAGTTATAACAATAGCTTCGTCAAAATGGTTTATCAATGCATACTTATTTGAGATAGATAGATAACTATATATATATGTGTTAAAACTCCCAAATTTGAGAAGTTTTGGGTATCGCAAGGATATATTATAAATATATAATAGTTCGTGAAGCAAATTTATTTCGACATTGTCATATATTAGTTTAAATACTTGAGCCGCAGTCAAATAATTTCACCCTGACATAATGAAAGAAATTAAAGATATGAAAAATATATTCACTGTCAAGTCACCTTCGAAGCCTGGGATCTACAGAAGTGACTCTTCTTACGTGAATTTGTCTATATCCAACTCGAAGATTGTAAATATTGATGAAAGCGGAAAGGTATTATCGGCCGAAAACTCGAATGAAACGTTCGACGAAAAGACCTTAGAAAGAGGTTTGAAGCTGAGACATGTGCAATTGATTGCTTTAGGGGGATGTATAGGTATGTTTGAAATACACCAGATGCTCATTTTAAACATCAGAGGTCCAATTACTAACATTTGCAGGTACTGGTTTATTCATTGGAACCGGTAGTGCGCTTTCGCAATGCGGAGCTGCATCACTCTTTATCAGTTATGTTATAATGTCTGCAGTGATATTCTTTGTCATGAATATGCTTGGGGAAATGACGACTTTCTTGCCATTACCTGGAAATGGGGCACAAGCATTCGTAAATGATTATTTCGACGACTCGTTAGGATTTGCGATTGGTTACAATTATTGGTATGCCTTCTCAATGTTAATTGCTTCCGAAGTCACGGCTGCTGCAATTGTCATACAATATTGGAACACGAGCATTAATATTGCTGTTTGGATAACTATATTTTTGGCTGTTATTGTGGGGCTTAATATGAGTTCGGTAAAGTATTTTGGGGAAGCAGAATTTTATTTTGCTTCGTTAAAGTTGATTGCCATTACAGGGCTCATTATCTTAGGGATTGTATTATTTTTCGGAGGTGGACCTAACCATGACAGATTGGGATTTAGATACTGGGAACATGGTGGTGCTTTCCATCAGCATTTAACAGGGGGTGATACTGGTAGATTCTTGGGCGTTTGGACAGCTATTATTAAGTCAGGTTTTGCTTTCATCTGTTCGCCAGAATTGGTTTCCATTGCTGGTGGTGAATGTCAAAAGCCAAGAAGAAATATTCCAAAAGCTTGTAACAGATTTATTTACAGATTGTGCTTTTTCTACATTTTTGGTACCTTGGTTATCGGTGTGATTGTCAATTCCAACAGCAAGAGGCTTTTAAGTGGTGGTAGTGATGCTTCGGCCTCTCCTTTTGTTATTGGTATCCAAAATGCTGGAATACCAGTTTTAAACCATATTATAAATGCTGTTATCTTGACCTCTGCTGCTTCTGCTGGTAATTCCTTCTGTTATTCGGCCTCAAGATCCTTATACTCCATGGCTGTCAAAGGGTTAGCTCCAAGTTGCTTTGCTAAGGTTAACAAATTAGGAGTTCCTTACTACTGTGTTTCAGTTTCCTCGGCAGTGGGATGTCTTGCTTACCTTAACTGCTCCTCATCCTCTTCCAATGTTTTCACCTGGTTCTCAAATATTGCTACTATTTCTGGTTTTATCAGTTGGATTGCCGTTGGAATGGCCTATTTGAGATGGAGAAAAGCCATAGAATACCATAATTTACAAGATAGAGTTACTTACAGAACTATTTTACAACCATACGGTGCCTACTTTGTGATAATATTTATCGGTCTCGTTACTTTGACTAACGGATATGCAGTTTTCTTTGATTTCAATGGTGCTGATTTTGTTGCGGCATACATCACGTTCCCAATCGTGATAGTCTTATACTTTGGCCACAAGATATATAATCGTACGGTGAACGGAGTTACCAGGTGGATTAGACCATTGGAAGAAGTCGATTTATTTACTGGCTTGGATTTGATCGAAGAAGAAGACAATAATACTCCTGACAGAGTACCAAAAAACGTGGCAGAAAAGATCTGGTACTGGGTCGCATAGACTTTACCAGTATATTTTTAGCACCTTGCTCAACATTTAATTCTTCTATTTCATATTTAGGTAATTAGGTTTACATAAACGATATTTTGCAACTTAATTTCGGTCACGTGCCTCATCGCTTCTCTTCATTTTTAGTGCACTATAATTTTTTTTTTCACTTGTAGATGATATCAACTATATTGGCCATTTGATTACAGCAAGAGACATGTCGAGTTTATCGCAACAGTTAAAGTCAATAAACGAGAAGACAGCCTCTGTGGCGTTGGATAGAAAATCTCGTTCGAAGATACATTCAAAGTCACTTATATTTGATCCCAAAATTGCATCAACTCAGGACTATGATTATTTATATCAAATCGGATTAGAGGGTTTAGAAGACCTTATTGAAATAGATTCTAGATTTAGTAAATTTAAACAAACGTTGTTTTCAGAAACTACTATTAACTTGGATAGAAATGTTCAAACTCAAGATACGTTGGATCAATTAAATAAGAACGTTGAAGTTTTCTTGTCATTAGTCAGTCCTTACTACTTATTAACCCCTTCGACCAAGGCAGTTGAATGGTTAATTAGAAGATTTTATATTAATATCCATAACGGAGAAATGTTATTACTCACAAGTTTGCCGTTTTACAGTTCCCCAGTTTTCGTCAAAATTTTGAATGTCATTCCAAAGAATCAATTCCCAAAGATTTTTGAATGGGTTGTTGGATACAAGGATTTATTGAAGTCTCCTACTTCAAGTTCTATTTTGAAGTCATTCCATAACGATGCTAAGTTTTTCGAATTATATTCCAAGTATTTGATGGATCAGTTAAACAACCATGCGGTTTTTAAGGAACAGTTAGTTTTCTATTTGGCAAATACTGTTCAGTTAGTTGCATCGTTCACTCATAATTTGGGTCAGTTCGGCGAGACCTACTTACCAGTTATCTTGGAAGTTGTCGGAAAATTATTATTGGCAGATTCAAAGTTGTCATCTACTTTGCGTAATGACATAAGGTTAACCGCTTATTCGATAATTTCGGTACTCTGTTCACTTGTTCCATTGAGCCCTGATTTAGTTAAATCATTTACGGAGTCAATATTGCAAGACCCAACTGCATGCGACTCTAATACACGCAAGCAAACCGTTATCGTATTAGGTCAGTTATGGAATTTTTACAATGAAGATAATTTTGAAATTGATTGCTTTAAAAATTTATCTGCCTCAAAGTTGGTTCAAGATGATTTGTTGAAAAATTTAATTGACGAGGGATATAAAATCAATAAATTCTTAGTGGTTTATTTTGTATCTAGTTTACCACAAATCGATGCATTTAGGATTTTAGACTTTATTAATGTGGACAGATCTGAAACCTTTTTTAAGATTGTGACTAGCAAATTATTGTATTATGCATACAATAATCAAGATGAAGTTATAAGAGCGAAGTTAATTGAAGCTTTTGAATCTTTGTTAAAAACAGACAAAGAATTGTTTGTTTATGTTTTACAGAACTATAAAGATGGCTTGGATATATCACAATTAGAAATGCAACTTATGACTACCTTAGGTGACTCTAATATTGAAAATATCCACGATGCAGATATCGAATTAGAGGACGAAGAAGAAGAAGAAGATCAAACAGTACTTGATGTTGACTTCTCAGATGTATGTAAGAGCTTAGAAAATTTTAAGACATCTACTACTTCATTTTTAAACAAATCATCCGATGAAGAGTTTACCAAGTTATTTCAGGCATTTGCAGAAAAGTCCCGTTCGTTTAATATTAAGTCTCAAAGATTAATACTTGCAAGATTCTCAAAGGTTGTCTTTGTTTCCGCTGAATCTTCGATCTCCTTTATGTTGAGAGTTTCATTTACACCATCAGTACCTTTATCAATAAGACTTTTAGTTTTACGTTTTATCAAATTGAGATTGAAAGAATTGTCCTTGTCCGAAGATAAAGTAGATACATACTTACTTGCTCCTATTTTGCTCTTAGGATTGTCCGATACGAACAAATCAATTAGAGCAGGATTCGCAGAATTGCTAAGAGTAGTCAAAGATACCACTCTGAAATTTCATGATAGTAAGAAAAAAGTCAAAACTTCGTTATTCATGGAAGATCAGATTTATGATAATACTGAACCTAGCAAGCGTGCTATTATTCCACCACAGGATGGGTTAGAAATGTTAAATGTTTTATTTGAGGATTCAAAGTCAATTTTAGACGACACTGTAATTGATAAATCTCGCTTAAATTACGTGCTCTTCCAGGTTTTATTCAAAAGTCAAAAATCTGGTCAAAAGAAATTTGGTCAACTACTCTTGAAGACTTTTATTTTGAATCAATGGGCTCTTCCATTTTGGCCACTTGTCTTTAAGTATAAAGTATGGAATATAATCAGTATCGAGAATAATTCTAATGGTGGGAATGATGATAGATTCTTTTTTATCGATACAGATTTGACCGACTACTTTTCTGATAGGGATGACTTGACTGAACAAGCCAAGGTTTCAAAGATCGATTTTGAAAATGACGTTGAAAAAACTATCGTTGGATTAGTAGGTGGTACATCCTCTAATGATAAGAATGTAAACAAGGAAGCTGATTGGCTCTTGAAAGCACTTGAGGCTCCAAATAAATTACAAGTTGCTGCTGGTAAGAGGTTATGCAGTGTATTTACTTCTTTTACTTCTATTGATATAAGAGCAAAACTAGTTAATAAGTTGATTGAATTATTGATCAATGATGGTGACGATAGCGATAATTTGGAAGTCGATCCTATAGAAGTATTGCAGTTGTTAGATATGGATCATGAGACAATTATTTCTGTTTTAAGGAATGTTCAAATTGTTTCTCAAATTCCCGAACAAGGTATAGTTAAAAGGAGAAGAAGGTCATCAAATTCAACTAAGCAAGCTATGGCCAGAGACGATATCAGTAGCATTGCGGCTACTCATTTGAAGAAATTGACTATCGTTTTAGATCTATTGGAATTCAATTTAAGAAAAAAGACTTCAGATATAGCAAAACCGGATTTGCTTCAAAACTTGTTCAGGATTTTAACTGATTTGGATTATTTAGGAAATGATGGTAACTTGCCTATTTTATATGCCCAAGAAACTTTGGCCTCGTGTATGCTTTTGAGTATTGTCCAGATGAAAGACAATTCAAAGTCAAATTGTTTCAAATTTGACTCTAATGTCGTGAGAGCTGATTTGATTGTTAACTCAATTAGATTATCTCAATCTCCTCAAGTTCAAAATAAGTTGTTATTAGTTATAGCTGAATTAGCGGCTCTTGCGCCTGAAATAATTTTACATTCTGTTATGCCCATCTTCACTTTTATGGGTGCTCATACAGTTAGACAAGATGATGAATTCTCAAGTTCTGCCCTCCAACAAACTATAGCAAAGGTGATCCCGGCATTAGCTGCAAATGGCTCATCCAGTTTAAGTTATGAAATTGAATTTTTATTAACTAGTTTTGTTGCTGCTTTTCAACATATTCCAAGACATCGTCGTGTTAAACTATTCACATCATTGACTAAAACTTTAAGTTACAAGCATTCTTTACACATTATCTTATTCTTAATGGGCCAACAATACTCCAGTAACGTAACAAGGAATAAAGCCCATGAAAGTAATTCGATATTGGAATTTACTTCTGCCTTCTTGAAGAACTTTTCAGCTCAGGAACAATTAGAAGGAGTAGAGAAATTTTACCAGTTATGGAATCAAATTCCAAATGCTCAATTAGAACCAAATAGCGACGAATTTAATGCTTTGAGTTCGAGGTCTATTTTTGGAGTATCAATATTATCTCTATCGAAAAGCGGCTTGTTGACTTTCAAAAGTCAATTGTTGAATTTTGTTGATAAGGTATTAGACTCAGATACTCAAAATGATTTCAGTAACTTGCCATCTTTGAAATTAAAAATTGCTCTTATTTTATTGGACCCAAAGAAACCTTCAGAAGACAAGACAAACCTCTTGAACTACTTCAGAAAAGTTACGTCGTTCATATTGTCTAGCTTAGATACTTTTACGAATGTTTCGAGGAATGATGTTTTACTTGACAATTTGTATACATTGTTGGGTAATTTCTTAGACTTGTTACCATTGAATTATTTCATTGATTCAATCATCGATTCCTTAGATTGTGATCAAATTTCAAACACGTTAGAGATCAAGATTGCTAAAAACTTCGCTATTTTGGCAAGTAGAAAGATCGAAAATGAGTTGAATGCTAATAATATTGATGACGTTATCGAAGAAAGTGTTCTCCGGAAATTGTTACCAGTATTAAACAAGGGTATTAAAAAGAATTTAGACATTGAATTACAACAAGCTTACTTGAATGCCTTTTCGAGCATTGTTAACAAATTTGGTGGTTCTACCCATGTATTGGTAGCTCAAGGTAATACCGAAGCATTAATTAACTCTTTGAATATTATCACATCACACAGTGGATTATTGAGTGAACAACCTGAAATTGTTATTTCTTCTATAAATGCTATTACTAGTATTGTTAATGTTTTAGGTGTTAAAGCCATTGGTTTATTCCCAAAGATTGTCCCTCCATCATTAAACATCTGGAAAAATACGACTGCTTCTGAAGATGAAAGTTCCAAACTTTTGCAAGCTTCTATTATATTGTTACTCGCTTGCTTGATCAAAAAGATACCCGCTTTCATGACTACCAGTTTAGATTCTATTTTCATCACAATTTTAACTAGTGACTCAGTAGATAATACTGTGAGGTCAAGTGTGTTGCAGTTAATTGTTGAGCATATGGAGTTATCGCAGGTTTTAAAATCCTTGTGTAATATTTGGAATAACAAGAAGTTTTACCAAAATGATAATGCTGGTAACCTCGGGTTATACTTGAATGTATTGCAATCAACTATCGAAAGTATGGATAAGAAATCAGCTTCATCTCAATCGACTTTATTTATGAAGTGGTTGATCCAAGCTTTCGAATTCAGACATTATGCTTTCGATGAAAATAATAAGTTTGATAACAACACTATTCACAGATTAGAGAGTTCTTTCCACTCTTGTGGTGTCAGCTATGTCATGAAGTTGAACGATAAAAGTTTCCGTCCATTATTTGCCAACTTGGTTAGATGGGCTTTTAACGGCGAAGGATCTAACGCAACAGGTCACACCGAGTTATCGAGATTGTTGGCATTCTTCAGATTTTTCAGTAAGTTACAAGATAAATTGAAGAGCATCATCACCTCATATTTCTCCTATTTAATTGATCCAGTTTCGTCGATTTTGAACAGGTTTGCTAACGGTGATATCGTTGATATCAACTTGAGAAGAATTTTGTTGAACTCGTTGACGTCATCCTTCAAATATGACCAGGATGACTACTGGTCGCAACAACTGAGATTCGATAGTATCTGTTCTCCATTGTTGAACCAATTGTCGAACATCGAGCCTAATATCGGTAAGTATCTCGTCAAGTGTGTCTCTTCCTTCATCTCCAACGTCTCGTCCGAAGAGTATAACGAAAAATTGGTACATGGCTTGATTGAGTTCATCTCGAACGAAAACGAATCTACAACCTCAAATACAAAGATCTGGACCATTAGGACTTTGAAAACAATCTTCCAAAAGATGGGCGAACAATGGTTGTCTTATTTACCTACGTTGATTCCATATATTGCCGAATTGTTAGAAGATGATGATGAAGAAGTCGAATTAGAAGTGAGAAATGGCCTTGTACGTGTCATTGAAAACGTGTTGGGCGAACCTTTAGATAGATACTTGGATTAGTTCTAGTTTTAAATATATGTTGTAATATTGATAGCTGCAAAATGTAGGAAATGTTATCCAGTCTGCCGGTATATGATTCGTCTGGAGAAGCTTCCTGGGCGTGCAAAACACAAAATGAAGAACATTCTTTTTCTTTCTACCAGAACCAATTTCCGAAGTATATATTCAGTAGCATTAAGCAATTGAAATAATTGATAACACACACCAGTCTACAAGCAAAATGGTAAGTAACTAGTAGGCGGGCGTTCGACGTTCGCCACTGACGAATTTTCATCAGTAAATAACTAACTCCAAAACAGTCCTCCTTATTGAAAAGCGCACAATCTTTAAAGCCATTATTCGACAGAGTCTTAGTCCAAAGATTAAAGCCGGCCTCCAAGACCGCTTCTGGTATCTACATCCCAGAAAAGAACCAAGAAAAGTTGAACCAAGCTACTGTTATTGCTGCTGGTCCAGGTATCACCAACACCACTACTGGTTCTGTGATCCCAACTTCGGTTAGGGCCGGTGACAAGGTCTTATTACCATCTTTCGGTGGTAACCCAGTCAAGGTTGGTGAAGAAGAATACTTATTATACACCGATAAGGAAATCTTAGCCAAGATTGAAGAAAACTAAGTGAGCTGGTAAAAAGTGTCGTCTTTTTGGTTTTGTTGGCCATGAAGTATGAACGGTTTTGTAAAATTTACCCACCCTTCAGTTGTCTCTGACTTAGCCAGTTCTACGTGTAGTATTGTCTACGATCTTGTAAATAATGTGAATATATACTGAACTATTTCCAATTAGTGTAGCCAGTAAGTCGAATGTGACGCAAAAGCGTCGTGCAATGATCCATGTAGCACACAGCCAGCAGATTAATAGTAAAGGCAATTAAGGTCTTTACGGCATCGAATCAAATATTCTATATCGGGATAGATTACATAGTTACTAGTGAGTTAGAATGTCTAATACTGGTTCGGCAAATAGCTCGAGCAATCGTTTTGCCCAATTTAAACTAGTCCTCCTTGGTGAAAGTGCAGTTGGGAAATCATCAATAGTCCATCGGTTCGTGAAGGACACGTTTGATGATATGAGAGAGTCCACTATTGGAGCAGCCTTCTTGACACAATCAATTACATTGCCAGAGATCAATACAACGGTCAAATTTGAGATATGGGATACTGCTGGCCAGGAACGTTACAAATCGCTTGCGCCAATGTACTATAGAAATGCCAATGCTGCATTGTGTGTATATGACATAACCAGCCGTTCGTCGTTCACCAAGGCGCAAGACTGGATAAAGGAATTAAAGAAACAGGCACCAGAGGGTATTGTGATTTGCTTGGTGGGTAACAAGGCCGATTTAGAGGAGAACAGAGAGGTCGACGAGAGAGAGGTATCCCAGTACATCGATGAATTGAACCAAGAAGACAACAAAGTGGTTGCGGCCGAATGCTCAGCCAAATCGGGCGACGGGGTTGTTGATATATTTACCAAGGTAGCAAGAGCCTTACCGGTGGAGGAAGTCATCAGCGGGTCTTCCAACAGAAACAGACAGCCTGGTAACAGAAGATCGGGTGGGGTTGATTTAGGAAGAGCAGCTAGGCAGCAACAACAACAAAGCACTTGTTGCTAAGTGCGTGATAACTACATTATAGGGTATCTATGGATCGTGCTATTTTATTTGGTGATGGTCTTTTTATAGGCGAGAACCTGCTAAAAACGTATTTAACTGCCCAAATTATGGGATACTACCATAGAGACTCTCCAGAATCTACAGTATAGCCCCACTTGCATTTTCCATTTCTACTCTGTTGACGCTACTTTTAATATAAATTTTAATTCATCCATTTTATTTAAAATTCAACCGGTTGCTTTATACTGAAACTGCTTTAAAACGAGCATCGCTCATGTTACAAATAAATTCTCCTCTTCAGCTTGCCAAATTTATGGTACAAGCCGGCCATGTTCGTTTTCCATCTGAAATCTGTTTCAAGTAAATTTAAATATGTTTGTTCTACAATAATACGTTTTGCTATTTTTTTATAAAATACATAAACCTAGTTCTTTATATTCCAAATTGTAATACAATTTTCCAATGTTGCTTGGAATTCTTGAATTTTAAAATAATTACTGCAATAGTAACTTTTGTCTACTCTAACAAAATTTACGTCGTCCTGGTTGTCAGTCTTTATATTCCAACTTCAACAAAGGACATAAAATACATCAAAAAATTGTAGGTGATTTTGATGGATGAACTCAGTAAACCTGTGGTTTTGTGTAGGCAATACACCCTTACGAGGTTAAGGTGTCTATGTGTTGCAAATATGATATTGACAACCGTGTTGCAAAATAAGACGCATAAATAAGGAAGGAATATCCCTGAGTCTTAACGAAATTACGAACTACACTTCAACATTATCTAAACATTAAATAAGAAATGCATAAAAGGGTATATATGACCGTAATATTTGTCATGCAAATAGTCATGGTTCAATGTCAAACGTTATACGGTTATACCAGTACAGGCTGTACAGGACAACCGTCAGTCAGTATCGATATAGGCACAGACCATTGTTACACAGTCCAAATATCTAATGAAGATTCGTTTAGTTATGAAAGCGAGGATGGATATGTTATGATTGTCTGGGGTGAAGATGGTTGTGCCAATGCACCAATTCTTATTTATACACAACCAGGATGTATACGCGTAGATGGGAACCTGAATATGTCGTTTGCGCTAATAAACGCAACCACTATATTAGAAGTGATTAGCCTAAGAGTTGCAGCAATAATTAAAAAAACTGAAGTAATCGCTAGGAATTGCCTGTGCCACGGCTAATATATTGTCCATATACGATGTAGGTATCTGAAATATATAACATGATACGTAAAATAAAAGGAAATATGAAAATGAAGTTACATATGAGTATATACAAAACCGATGGAATACATGAAATATGAAATAAACGTAGCAAATTTAATGTTATAAACTGTAGTCCTTAGAGTACGTAGAGTTATTGTTGTGCCATTAACAGCTGAGTAAGTGTTAGTGGTGTAAGAGAACACAACTATCCATATATTGGACATGTATGTGCGTGTTGCAAAAGAATGCTGCAAAAGTTGAAGTATAAATAGAGTTGTTTCATTGAGATTTCCTAGCCTTTGTTCATAGGCTATAGTTGATTATACTTCATATTCCGAGATGCTTAAGAAGTTATATATATGTGTGTTATTTGTTATGCAACTAGTCATGATTGAATGTCAAGCTTTGTACTTTTATCCCGAATTATACTGTGATACTACAAATGGGGGATCGGGCATGAATATATATACGCAACCAGGGTGTATACCGGTAGACGGGAGATTGGTTATGTCGTTTGCACTTATAAAACTAGCTTCTGTATTAGAAATAATTGACCTACGAGTCGCTGCAATGGCTAAGAACACAGTAGTAATCGCGAGGAACTGTCTGAGCAACAAATACTGATCTAGTGTTTATATATGATGATAGGTATCTGAAATACATGAATCTTAGAATAAAATATGAAATAAAGATAATATGAGTATGCATCTGAGCATCTTAAAATATTGCTCGTACATTAAACAGATCCTTACCTTTAGTACAATCCATCGTTCCTGGCATATTACCATCTTACATCAGCCTAGCGCTGGCTACTCCATAGTAGAGCTTTCCATAATGAAAATGTGCGGGTAACACACAAATCGAATTTCAAAATTGACCAAACCACACGACCCAATCTCGGACGAAAATTTTTTTTCCATCACTTAGTACTAAATTTTCAGAAGTGAAAAGTTTTAATATAGTTTATACTAGTCTTTATTATCACATACATATTGAAAATGTCTGCTCGTCCACAAGTTTCTGTTGTTTCCGCTGAAGGTAAACAAACCTCCACCCAATTACCATTACCAGCTGTCTTCTCTGCTCCAGTCAGACCAGACTTAGTCCACTCTGTTTTTGTTAGAGTTAACAAGAACAAGAGACAAGCTTACGCTGTTTCTGACAAAGCCGGTCACCAAACCTCCGCTGAATCATGGGGTACCGGTAGAGCTGTTGCCAGAATTCCAAGAGTTGGTGGTGGTGGTACTCACCGTTCTGGTCAAGGTGCTTTCGGTAATATGTGTCGTGGTGGTCGTATGTTCGCTCCAACTAAGACCTGGAGAAAATGGCACGTCAAGGTTAACCATAACGAAAAACGTTATGCCACTGCCTCTGCCATCGCCGCTTCTGCCGTCACCTCTTTAGTTTTAGCTAGAGGTCACAGAGTCGAACAAGTTAAGGAATTACCATTGGTTGTTGCTAACGACTTCGAATCCGTCACCAAGACCAAGGACGCCATTGCTGTCTTAAAGGCCGTTGGTGCTCACAAGGATGTCATCAAGGTCATCAAGTCCAAGAAGTTGAGAGCTGGTAAGGGTAAATTGAGAGGTAGAAGATTCACTCAAAGAAGAGGTCCATTAGTCGTCTACGCTCAAGACAACGGTATCACCAAGGCCTTAAGAAACGTTCCAGGTGTTGAAACCTCTGACGTTAAGCACTTAGGTTTATTACAATTGGCTCCAGGTGCTCACTTAGGTAGATTCGTTATCTGGACCCAAGGTGCTTTCGAATCCTTAGACTCTGTCTACGGTTCTGACTCCACCAAGTCTATCAAGTCTGGTTACACTTTACCATCCAACATCATTTCTAACACTGATGTTACCAGATTAATCAACTCTGCTGAAGTCCAAGCTGTTGTCAGACCAGCCGGTCAACCAACCCAAAAGAGAACTCACGTCTTAAAGAAGAACCCATTAAAGAACAAGCAAGTCTTATTAAGATTAAACCCTTACGCCAAGGCTTTCTCTGCTGAAAAGTTAGGTTCTGCTAAGGTTTCTCAAACCAAGGCTAAGCCATCTAAGGGTCAATTCTCTGATGTCTTAAAGAACTAAATGTACTGAATAAATAATGATTCGTTCAATGCATAGTTCGAAAGATATGAGATGTGAAGAGAGAAGATTTTATATTTATAGTATAGTATATTGAAGTTTGCCTTAATATAAACATTTTCTCATTTAACCATTTAATTCATGCCCTAGGCATGTGTTGTACATGAAGATAGGAAGATAAAATTAGAAAGCTATAGGAAATCAGATTATTTTCTAATACATCGATTCGTGCCCACATTGGGTAGTATATGAAAGAGGTATAAGTAAAAAAAAGTTCTACAGATTACAGAAAATCAGATTATTTTCTAATACATTGTAAGCAGGCTATAATAAACAAATAAAGTACATAATTATTAACATAAATCAATCAGGGTGATGAATTAATTAATTGGTTTTAAAACATTTTCGGAGAAGTAATTCTTACCTGTCTTGGAATCTGTACCAACGACATTACCTCTTGTGTTGGAGTATTCACAAATTGTGTATTGACTCCAAGAGTTGTCACATGTGACTCTAGCACAACCAACTTGACTAGTTGATTTCCAGACCAATTGAGTAAAGTGTCCAGTAGCTTCATTGAAGCCAGGGTTACTGAAATCATATTGCTTAATTTCGTCGTACCAAGCTTTGACTGGCTTGGAGCCACCGGAGTAACCGGCAGCCAAGTTTTCACCATATGGACCATTTGAGTGAACTAATTTAACGTTGTCACATGAGAATGTGGAAGCGGCGTAGTCAGCAGCGTACTTGGCTAAAGTATCGTTCCAAGCTAAAGATTGAACACCATGAAGGGCTCTCTTCTCGTTGTGTGCGTTCAAGATGTCAGCTTCGAATCCAGAGGAAGCGGTCGAATCAGAGGTCGAAGTGGAAGAAGTGGAGGTACCGGAGGTTGAGGTACTCAAAGTGGTAGGAGTGGAAGGTTCTTCGGTAGAAGAAGTAGTAGTTTGTTCAGTGGTTGGAGTATTGTCTTGGGTGGTTTGTTGAGTGGTTTGTTGAGTGGTTGGGGTGGTTTCTTGGGTGGTTTGTGGACTGGTGGCTGGAACAGTGTTTTGAGCTTGGTTATCAGCTTGAGTGGAAGTCGTAGCTTCGTTCTGTTGGTCATCTTGTTGTCCATCTTGTTGCTCACCTTGTGGCTCAGCTTCTGGAGTAGGTGAGGCCGGTGGGGCGTTGTTCACCGTATCTTGCGCAGTAACAACCTTCACAACGGTGTTACTCGTGTATGTGACCCAATGTGTGACTGCCGGAGCAGTGTGTGTTCTCGTTATCAATGCTGGAGCGGCCTGTGACATGGAGAATAATGCGGCATAAGATGCCAATGTTAAGTATGAGTTAAGCTTCATTTCGATTTTATAAAGAATGTATAGTAGTTAGCTTCTTAAAGAGTGACTGGATTAAACCTTAAAGCTTTTTTAAAGAGTGGATAGTTTAGCGAAAGTATATTAGGATAATAGAAAGATCATTCGAATCAACCGAAATCTACTGTCCTTTTATAGAGATCAACTACAATAGCCAGCATCTACCAGCACCATCGTTTCCCTGCAAAACATCTCTCAAATCGTCCATATCCAGCTTCGATCCAGCTCTGCTGGAGACTAGCTGATCTGGTTCATTGAAAAATTCCTCTTTTCAGATCATGCAAGCATAAATCGACATTTTGTGAACTTTGATCCAGCAGTTTCTATTAGCCAGCCATCCGAATCTTTTTGCAGTAATTGAAATTTGACGTAAACTGTAAATTTCTCAATCTTTATTTTAAACGTGATGTTATCGGAATTAGCGCGTTGATCACTATATTGATCACTCTTGGTGATTTTTGGGTGTCAGATCAAGGGCTTTTTTAATGGAAATTCAGGCATAAAAGTCTCGTCGGTTACATATTATATGTTCAAAGGGTTAAGAAAAAAGGCACTGGCTTTACTGTTGTATTCACAGCCTACACGGGCTGGTGAAATGGTTAATGACCCGTCTTCTTATGATAAAATTCTTAAGCAAGTTCATGACTTCGAAACGGCTTTCAAGGCGATGGATTATTTGTTAGACGATAGGACGCAAGAGGGAATAGATCTCCTACAGGAGCAACAGAAAAGACATGTAAAAACGGAATCCGAGCAGCCTGCAGCTATTTTTCCATTGGCGCTAGGGGTGATGGAATTCATCGAGGCAACATTAGGGTTTGAGCCGGAGGTGATGGAACGAGCGCATCAGACGTTATCGGAGGCAGAGGCGGCGTCGTTGAATAATGTGAAATATAATGTTCGATACCTGCTAGGGACGTCGCATATATATCCCCCGGGGACCGAGTTCCAGGTGACGTACGCGGAACTGACGTTGTTGAATGCGTTGCTTATGTTGTTGCAGGAGAGCAATGGGGTGGTGGAGAGTGCTAAGGCGTTGTTCAAGTTGCGGAAGGCGTACCAGACGTTGGATTCGATCTACAAAAAGATCAAGGAACTGGAGCCGGTCTTCAACAAGAATTTGGCCAAGTTGAAAAAGGAGGCATCGTTACAACGCGAGGGTAATTCGGCTAGTGTGAGCACCGTTGACTTGCCAGGGTATCTGAACCCGTCTCTGAGGGGTGGATCAAGCGCTTCATTGCCGCAAGATGTCAAACTATTGAAAAATTTGGAAGCCGTGTACCAAATGAGAAAATCTCGTATTGAAGGTACGAGTTTGAATGATCCTTCTCAGGCGCTTAATGTTAACATGTATGCCGCCACGTCGTCGAGGGAGCTGTCCGTATCTGTTGCATCGGCTGTCCATAGTGTTTCAGGAGGAAGACCCGAGTCTCCTAGAACAACCACATTGTCGCAAAATGCAAAATTTAGAAATACAACGCCGTCATCTGCGGACGATGAACTTGATGATGATGAAGACGAGTTTTCTGACGCTTCGGATACCTTCCACAGTTTTGGAAATCTTTCTGTTCCACAGCTGATGCATAAATCATCGTCCATGGCGAATTCACAGGTTTTGGACAATGCTGAATCAGTTTTATCTGGAGCGAATTCGTCGTCTATTTCTTTAGGAAACTCTGACCAAGAGGATAATCATATGCATGTTTCTACCGTTGATGAGTATATACATTCAGGGGTTCAACTTTGTTTTGGTATACTTCAAGTTGTTCTTTCTTTAATTCCTCCTACTATTGGTAAGGTTTTATCAATTGTTGGTTTTAGGGGTGACCGTGAAACAGGGTTAAAAATGCTCTGGAGAACAGCAATCACGAGTAGAAATATACATGGCGAATTAGCTCTATTATGCTTATTGGTCTTTTATGATGGTCCTGTTCAATTTATAGACGATGGTTATCAGTTACCAGGACAAGAGGATTCCAATGTTTCTGAAGTCATCTCAATTGATAAAAAGTCGAATATTTCTGACAAGGAACTCGAAATAATATTGAAAAACCCTGCTTTGTATACGCCTCAGCTTTTAACTAAGGTCAGGGGCTATTTCCCTCATAATGCTTTATGGTTATTACAAGAAGGTAGGATGCTAGCTGCTCAAGGCGAATTGGTAAAAGCCGCTACCCTCATGCAATCATTTACAGACAATCCTGAGACGAAAATAAACATGCAGCAAGTTGAAGCCTTACTTATATTTGATAGAGCGATGTTGTATGCTTTTAAACATGATTATGACGAAGCAGCAAGAGATTTTATATATTTGCTTGAAATTAATTCTTGGTCCAAGAGTATCTATTTATTTTTTGCTGGAAGCTGTTATTTGGAAAAATGGAGGATGATTAAATTAGGGATGATTGAAGTCGAAGATAGAGAGAAGTCATTAAAATACTACGGGGATCAAGCAGAACTTTACCTTAAGAAGGCTCCAACATATGTCCCTGGTCATGGAATTAATGCCACTAATAAAAAAGGGGGGATTGGTGGTGGTAATAAGCAAATGCCATTTGACAAGTTCTTGTTGAGAAAGCTTCAACATATTGAAAAATGTCAAAAGAAACACCCCAAATTGTCGTTTTTGAATTGTTTTGGTACATCTCCAATACATGAACTCATATATTTCTGGAATGGTTATAATAGAATGAATGAAAATGAGCTTAAATTGACGTTGACTTTACTAGGATATTCAGGTGCGGTGAATTCCGATTATTCAGCTAACAATAATGAACAAAATTTTGCAAAATTTGAAGAGAATGAAGATGAAGCCATGATAAGATATTTCTTCCAAAGTATTACTCTTCGACTGTTGAATAGACTTTCAGAAGGTGTTTCCCTATTAGATTCACATGTGATATCTAAATTCGTTACACAGGACTCACCAAATATGCCATTCAAATTTATAAAGATGACTTACAGTCCTTACCTATATCCTACAGCCCTTTATGAGCGTTCGATGTTTGTTTGGCTATTAAGGACATCTAAGAAGTCTGCAAATCTTATGGAGGCAATTGATGAATCCAAATCTTGGTTGAAAAAGTCAGAAACTGTTGGAGATGGTGATTATGAGTTAAGTAATAGAACGGGAATGAAAATTAAAGCAGCTGGTGATAGATTGGACCAATTCAAGACGCAAATATAATTCAGATGGTTATTTATTCTCTATATGCTGATGTGATTGACATAATCACTTATAGTTATTAGTTCATGCTTTATGAACACTTTGCATACCTATTTAGGAGTAGATATCTATCTAACATTGATTGGTTAATTAAAATAGGTATCAACCATTGTGTAGGCAACATTAAATCCAAAGCAGATACTTAGAAGCCAACCAAGTGCAAGTAGGGGTATGATTCCAGCAAGAATGATCATTTGTAATAGCTTAGCTGGATTATTCATAGCTCCACCTTTAGTAACGGATGAATTGCTATTATTAATGAATGGCAAAGAATTAAACCCATAAAAAGTTATCACAAAATAGTATCCAATAGCCCCGAAATATAATGAGTTACCCAATAACAAGGCGAAAATCGACTTCTTTATTCTGATTAATGGTAGCAAAATAAATTGTAAAACGTACAACACACACCAGATAATTAGAAATGAATTGCAATGAATATCGAAACAGAATCCCCATTCAATATAGTTAACACTGTATCTTCCGACTCCTCCGGTATTACCATATGTATTATTGAATAATTTATTAGTGACGAACCACGAAATGGTCGCAATGACAACACCGCTTAGATAGAAGTCGATCATCACCATATAGACTATCAATTTACCAATATCCCATATGCGAGGACTATAAGCCATACCCCATGCAATTGCACTTATAGAAAGAAATGTTGTTAATAATATCAAAAATGAGGGATCATCTCTTGAGTATGTCGATTTAGTATTCGACAGAGGTTTATAATAGTAATGTGATCTGTACATCTTTTTAGGATTAAGTATTAGATGAAATATTTCCCACATCGCTGTTTCAAAGTCAAGAGTAGTCGGCTTGAATAACCGCTTGAACATTTTTCTCAAGTTTTGTACATTACCTCCTGTGTAATCATTATTAGTATTATTCGTGAATGTAGAAGAAGATGTGGATATAAACGATCCTCCTGTGACCGATCCTTGAGGAAACCGCAGAGACGTGGAGGGGATTGATGTCTGTGGAAATAAATCTTGCGTAGTATACGGTAAATTGAATCGTTTACTCATATTTTCGTTAACCTTTACTGATAGTAAACTACCTGACTATATAATACGTACATCGAAATACGACTGGACTTAAACTTGATTTCAACAGAAATCACGTGCCATAAAATTATCATACATTGTAATCTTGGTCTACAGATATAGATAAGTAGCAATATTAGAACTAAGCATAACGCCTAAACCGTACGTTCCTTGCCATCTGAGAAAGGTCTATAGATTTGGTAGCAGTATGATTGTTATCAGGGGTTTTTTGATAAATATCATAATCTTCACTTTTCAAATCTATACTCATTTTCCTAGGAGGATGCAAGTCAGGAGTAGAGGCGAATGTTGTAGCAGGAGAATCGGAATCAAGTATAGGAAACATGCGATCCACTTCATTATTCCATAGATTGGAGACATACTCGTCCTTATTCGCTGAATCTACCCTCTCAAAGTAATTGTTTGTTGTGCTATCTGTTGTATATTCATCCAAATTTTCAGTGTTCTGTTCTTTTTCATGGTTATCTTGCATTGTGAAATATCTTGATCTATCGACAAATCCCAAAACTCCTGCTTTTGATTTCATTCGTAATTTGGATGGAACCTTCTCATTAGGTAGGGAATACGTTTCAGCTGAGGCATCAGATAAGGAGCTGGAAAATCGTAATTTGATCTGAGTATATTCAGACATTATTGCTTCGTGTTGAATTTTGATCCCATAATCGTAGGATGTATTTCCTGGAACTAGTGAGCGCCATTTTGAAGATAGGTTTGCATTTGATGTAGAGTTAGAAGAGTCTTCCTCCTCAGAATACAAATCCTTATAATCTAAGATTTTTTGCAAGGTCCTACTAGTATTTTTCTGACCAAGGTCTCCAATAGGTATAGGGATATCATTATTGTATTTTTTCACGAAGTTATTTTGAAAGTCACTAATTTCTTGTAAAGTCTCCTTGTAATTAATTTTATTTGCATCTATGCGATGAGTATCATTTATATTATCAGGAATATTAGACCAATTGTCTGTATTATGTTTAGAATTCATCTTCTGTGAGAAGTCAGGTCCACATTCTTCATCTAATTCAGCATCCTCATCATCCAGCTCGCTCTCATATTTTACATCTACTGTCCTTATTGCATCCAGATCATTTTCTTTCGGGGATTTTTTATCCTCAGACAGTTCATTTCCTTTCAAAGTATAAGAAGACGAAACTCGTGATAGGGAATACAAATTATTAGACTCATCTTTAAAAAGCTGACTCATTCTATTATAGATTTTATTAGCAGCAGAAGCTATGACTGATGAAGGTGTTGTTGCAGTAGTTCTATATGAAAGATCTGAATGTACATTATTTATAATTTCACTTTCATTACTTTGCAAACCACGAAATGAATTATCAGGATTACCATAATTATAAAATCTCTCATGTCCATTGGGCTCCTCTATTTTCTTGCTTAAAGTTTCTAAGGGCGAACTATTTTCCATGTTACTATGCACCAATCCTTCGTTTCCGTAATTCAGATTCAAACGTTGCCTTTGAATTGGCCTTCGTTTCCGGGAAGATTTACTTCGTTTAAATCGGGGACGTATATTATGGTTCTCGTCGGCATATTGGTAACAATGTTGATCTGGAGGCAACCCTATGCCAGGCGAAATCGATGATAATTTTTCTCGACTCAAATTGATGCCATCATTATTCACATGTTCTTGCATTATGTTATCTTCATTAATTACATTGGTTGGTTTATTACGATGAAGTACCGCCTGCACTGTTTTTGGTATCCTTCTCATTCTACTCTTCTCCCTATCTCCATCAAGTGTATTATGTGTTGAACTGGATCTCCCCGATATATTTCCGTAGCCTTCCAATGCCCTCTCTCTACTTCGACCAGGTACGTCCTGGTCTTCAATCATACTCATGGTGATATATATGACTCACACTTGTTTATTGATTCCTTATTATTATACGTTTGTTTTTTGCAAATGAAATACCAGCCGCACAATATTATTGGTGATATTGGACTAATTTAAATAGTGAACACTTTAAAGATATTTCTCGTTTAATGAAGTATACGTGTGAATACTTTGTTATATATTATTCTATCATGAATCTATTTACAAATAGGTAATTAAAATGACATGGTGAAATTCTATTAGTATAATCCTTAATTTGATTTGTTACCAAAGGTCCTTATCACCACGTGATATATGTCTCTTTATTGATAACTATGCTACCTCAAAGACAAGATGGCCTTGATTGAGTCCACTATAGGCACATTCGATTAGTAATTTCTGTCTTTTGGTCACTAAATTACTCAAGTTGACAATTTCTTGTTTATGCTTCATTATTATCATACTACTTTGTGCTTTGTGTTTCTTGCTATTGACTTCTTCAAAAATTAAAGATAAGTCTTCAACCGTTTTATTCAAGTAATCTTGCATCTGTTCGAATATTTCAGAAAAGTTTGTCTTCGAGAGGTAGAATGCAAAACAGTAAGTCCATTTGAGGGTCTTACGGCCGTTGGTCAAGGCTCTGATTGCATCGTGCAAAAACTGAACATCAATCCATGAGAGGTTCTGTTGGGATTTATTCTTCTTTTTCAGTTCTTCTTCCATATATAATTTCATTTTATTGTCCACCTTGTCAATTATCTTCTTGTCACCTTGCATTGAAGATTCATGGACTGAAAAACGCTTATAGAAATGCAAATATCTCTGTAATGATAGCCTTTTCAGTTGTTGCAATTTTTTTACAGCGTCAGTTTCCTCTGGGTCAAACCTGTTGCATTTGTAGTACGATGTTCCATGCTCTTTCCATGAAACCAAACAAATCCAACAAAATTCGTATCTACACTTAGAACATGTCATGTGGTTGCAACCACCGTTTTTCTCTATCAGCGAACCACATTTAGGGCATCCTTGAGTATTAGCTTGAATCCAATTCGCTGTTTCGGAATCATCCTGACATTTCTTAACCCATAATTTCACAATCCAACATGGGCATGGTAAATGGTTCTCGTATTGACAATCGTAACAAAACTCATGATTTTCTGGGCAGGTTACTATGGGCACGTTTAGTATATCCACATTTTCGCCATTAACTATTACTGTTTTAGGAACCTTTCTGGAAACTAATTCTGTAAGATTTGTACAATCAGGAGCAGGACACCATTTCCACTTCAGTTTATGGCTTTCAATATGAGACTTTGCCGCCGCTGCGAGTAAGTGATTTTTAGTCATCTCAAGTGTGAAATCAGTTAAATCATGCTTCCCATTTCTACTCTGAAGTAGCATTTCTACATCAGCATGAGGGATAGACAAGTTGCATTCAACATCAATGCAACGTATTATTCGCCCATTATGAATGTTTTCTCTTGCATATTCGTAATAGCAATTCAAGCAGAATTTATGGCCACAGCTTAATGAGTATACCTCTGTTATTTCATAGTTTTCACAACATACTGAACAATTAAAGTCCTTCATTTTTGCCACATTATTGTCCTTCTTGTTTGGTTCCGTCAAGCCACAAGAGTTTCGAAGTTTCGGCCAGTCATCGTAGAATGCATTAATTACATCTTCTGGTTGCCAGTTCTTGAAATGAAGCATTATAAGTATATTATCGAAATCACATTGGGGTAGTTGCATATTTTTCAACGTAATAGCTTTATCTAATAAAAACTCTTGAATATAGCTGGTCAATTTCCACGGCTCATATGAAACTCTATTCCGCTTAATAGGATGGAAATTAGTGCTGCTAGTGTTATTAAATAACTGAATCGATTCGTAGTCATTCTCATTATCGTTATGTATTTCTTCCTCTTCAGAATCTAGTTCCTCTTCAAATGAAAAATCGGATTCGGATCCATCTGCAATCTCATCGTCGTATTCAAAACTTAAGTTCTCTTCACTTTCTGACATTAGATAAGGAAAACAAGATCGTTGTTAATTTTATAAAAGTTACGATTTGAACAAGTGTACTAAGGTTTTATATTAATATATATATTCTATGCCTATCATATAATTTATAATACAGTGCGCGTGAATTTTATGATGATGATAATTGATTTATCACTTTTTGCAAGACACATTGTTCTTGCCTAATTAAGTTACGGATGATATCCTCTCTGATTTTTGTAGAAGCCTTCATGCTAGTATAGTCATTATATCTCGATAAACGATTTTGGCACCAAGCTTTAATTATTTGATGAATTTCTTTATGATGAGAAGTATTCTCAAATGGAAGAAGTAAATGGAATATTCTTTTACATAACTTTCTGCTACTTTCACAGCCAACTAATTTTGCTTGAAATACTTTATACGGCATTAGGAAAATGTTAAGTAATGCATATGTTTGAGGAGATAATGAGCCATCGTATCTAACAACTGGAGATAATTGCCAGGTTTCTGGAGTAGCATTATCAGCCATATCCTCTTCTTCTTCATCACAGCATCCATGGCCCTCCTCATGCTCATGATGTTCATGATTATCTTCATTTTGATGATTGGTTTTGTATTCATTTACTAAATCATTCACTATATCGAACCCAACTTCTTCATACCATTTTAATTTTGTGTCATGCTGTTTAACCTTAATACCTGAATTCTTCTGTCTATAATTCTTCAAGTATGAAAACATCTGAACTGATAGAATACATGAGTCGTTGACATTTGGTTCTTTAAAGTCGTTTACAAAACCATATCGTTGCAATAAATATGGATTAGATAAAGTGTTACCGTACGTATTAAATAATTCGTTGCTGTATTTCTCCATCGGTGGGCTTGTTAATACAATATCACAACATTGTGAACTATCTGAGAGTTGGGCAGCTAATTCTTCTTCTGCGGACATTGAATGGCCCATTTGAGGATTTTGCATAGCTTCAGTAGTGTCAGCATCTTCACCTTCACTCAATGATAAGGTAGAGACTTCCTCATCACTTTTCGCTGTTTCCGCCTCTGAATCTTGGTCGTTTTCAAGTTCCTCTTCCATACCTTTTATATAGTCCATAGTAATTTCGGATATTTCAGGAATTTCCTCAGTATCAGACTCTTGGTCACTAGGATGCTCATCATGTTCGTGGCTATCATTATTTCCGTCATTTTCATCAGAATCGGAAGAGCTAGCGAGATCGCCTTCATCTTCAACATCTTGTTTTCCCTCTTTTTCCTTCTCCTCCTCTTCATCATCATCATCATCTTCTTCTTCTTCTTGCTCCTCATCTTGTTCGTCACTTCCAAAGTTATCTTCATCTTCTTCCATTTCGTCAATCATTTCCTCATCCTGTTCGTCATCGTGGTTGTCACAATTTGGTTCACCACAGATTGCACATATATCGTCTCCGTCGCAGACAAAATGGACATTCTCTCTACCTTGAATTTTTGGAATCCCATCTTCCTGTTTCATAACAGGAACAATGTGATTATATAAATCTGCTCCAGGAACCAAAGAGAGCCCGTGGAATTCATCAACTGCAAATGCTCTGGATATGACCGTTTGGACGTATTTTGCAAATGAAACCACTTTATCGAAATGATTACTCATTAAATACGATTCCAATTCATTGTTCTTTGAATGTAACTGCAAATCAAATATCTCGGGCATACCAGCGTATTTTTTGTTGATATGAGCAAAACGAATGCACTCAATGTAAAATTGAACCAATTCGTCACTATTTAGCATCCCTAACAAATCACATTCGGTGTTTTTTAGCATCTCCTTCTCTTCGTCCGTCCACAAACAAATCGGAACATTGGAAAACTCGTTGTTTTCCTGTTTTGGGTCGATAGTGGAAACATAATCAAACCATGGCGAATTTTTGCCAGCAGATAATTCGTAGATGAACGAAATCACCACACTGTGCATGCCCTTAGTCAAATTTACATCTGGATTGCTTGAATGCAACTCGTTAAAGTCATTGAGCAAGTTGCAAATGAAAGTGTTCTTAGACGATAAAATATTGGCCTTAGGAATCCGAAGTAGTAAATTATCTTCCTCTTCACTATTATCAATATTGAGAAATACACCGACTCCACTAGTAGTACTCGATTTTCCTACACTCAAAATATCAGCATTCCAGAATGCATTCTTCTCGAGCCATCCCAATACCTTATCAACCTTATCTGAATCTGTGCTGGACATGTTCTATACACCTGATAACGTTTCCATCTCATCTCTCTTGGTCTTAATTATGGCCCTATTAACCAGATCATCGCCTATGTACAGGTTTCCAGCGAGAGCCCTAGCGCTTAAACTTTCATGATACAAAAGCGCATAAGCGCACCCATCGCTTAAAAAAAATTCTCATCGGTGACCCGGACGAAGACTGAGGGTATAAATACTACCCATTCCCCTGTGCTCCCTTAGTCTGAACAGTATCATCAGTAGTGGTTATACTATCTCTTAATAGATATATAACTTGTACTATTTATAGTACACTACATAAAGACCTTAGTTTTATCCTAAGTACACCACATTAGTGCTTGTGTGAATTGGGTATTACGTATCAGCTAAGTGTTTTTTGACCTTTTTAACAGATTGGCCACAATCAACACTTCGTTTCCGGTCTCTTAGAATTTAGTGCATTTGTGTCTTCGTATAGTTCTGACAACGTAGATTGGAGCCATTTATGGCTGTGATTGATTATGGTCAGATTAAGACACGATGCTACATTCATCCATCTGTAAGGCTCGTTTAGAGGTGTAGACGTGTAGACATGTGAGCAAACTGGTTTAGACCTTGATAGGGAATTTCGAGAGTATCCAATCATTCCATCATGAGCCTATTGTACCCAATATCAGGCTAGTATCTACGGATCCTATACACCTCTGTTACGTTTGGTACTGTAAAAGTAACGTAAAAAGAAAATTTTTCGGGTACTAAGTCACGTGATCATCGTGATTATTTTTGGTGAGTAACATAAACCATCAGAATTCGTTTATAAGATGATGATTAAACATTGGACTATTCGATACCTAGTCGACATATACAGCAAAATCTTACAATATGGCTCACAGATTATTAGTTAATGTTATCTTCACTGGCGCATCAGTTTTCGGCCGTGCTTTTACCGAGGCATACAAGCAAGCGGCCAAGGCCACCGCTGCTACACCTCAAGGTGGTGCAGCCAAATCTACATCTGTTGGTGGTATTCCAACCGAAGAAGCCCTCAAGATCTTAGACTTGAAGAAAACCGACTTGTCGGTTGCCAAAATTGACGAGAAATATGCGTACTTGTTCGATGTGAATTCGAAGGAAAAAGGGAATTCATTTTATTTACAGTCCAAGGTGTACTATGCCATGGATAGTCTTCGTAAAGAGTTAGAGTACCTCGATAAGTTGAAAAAGGCCAAAGACGGTGGTCAGGGCGATGCCGGTACTACGCTGACTTGATAGTATGTGTCGTTGGTCCCTGACTTCCCTGCTCGCCATCACCTAAAACAAGAAGTCGTTTTTCGGGAGCTTTTTTCTGCCCTTGTCCTTACCACGTTGCATTTAACTTTTTATAAAACCCATGGCATAACTTGACATCTCTATCATTCACATCATAGCGTGCCATACGAGACCTATAGCTCTACAGTTTCCATGTTAATTATTGGGATTTGCTTGCTCATATGCTAATTTCCAAAGTTTTACTTTGTTTTGACTCCTGTTTTCCACTAACTTGTAAATATTTATTCCTTTATAGTGTTTAATAGCATATCTGTACACCTTCTAGTTGCCTGATCTTGTAGCTTGAATGTATTATACGGTCGTATAATGTTCTTACACAAAACCAATTTATTGTATATCCAAATATGAAAAATAGTCAATCAAGAGAGTTTTTTATTCGCTTTATATTATTCGATACTCATTGATATTTATACAGATAGGGTAGTTTACGCTGGTGTTGTTACCTTTGCTAACTTATAGGATAATATTATGAGTAGTAATAACAACAAAGAGGAAGAACAACTTTTACAAGATGCATCAACTTTATTAATGTTTGCCAATGTGGCAGCTAAACAACAACAAGAACAGCTTGGACATAAGGCGTCACCAACACCGCCACCGTCACAAATCCCAGTGCCGACGTTTCAATCGAATCCACAATCTCAGCATCTGTCAATATCCCCTCCGAGTCTGTTTCAGCCTTTAAGGACGCCACAGCAGCCTTTCAGACAACAGCTTCAACTGCCGTTACAACAACAGCAGGTACATCATCATGTACAATCACATCAACCACAGCACCATATAATTAATGATACTAATACACCCCAGACGGACAAAAAGATACAGGAGAAGTTTAAATTACTGCAGACGTATATAACATCTGGAGGCAAAATAACTCCACCTTCACAAACAAAGTCATTACCTGAATCATCAAGATCATCCATTTCAGAAAATGCAAGTATAATGAAACCACTTGATCCAGCTCAACACCATGAACCAGGGATGCCAGGACATGGCAATTTTATTCAGCAAGGACATAAGCGTTCGTTGTCCTCTCCAGGAGTGGAAGCTACGTCAATATATCAAAGCCCACCTGTATTAAATAACCAATCACCAGGGCCTGCAAGCGTTGCTTTGTCAAGAGGCATTAATATCGAAAGCGGTAAGCGAAACAATAATAATGCGATGATCGCAGCTGCTGCGCTAGCTGCTGCTGCTGATATCCCTTTGCCGTTAATTAAGAAAAGTGAAGAAACTTTGAAAGACCAAAATCAAGCTCAGCCCGAAAAATCATCGGTTGACGCTTTATCGCTGGTGAAAGATGAAGGTATAATTGACAACCGCGTCGACGAGTCAGTAATGACAGAGCCTGAGGAAGAAGATATAAATGAAACAGATGATGAACCACAGTCAAAATTAAATACAAATATTAAATCGCGGGATATAAGCAATAAGGTGGAAGAGATGGCACACGAAAAAGAAAGGGTAGACGAAAGGAAACCCTTTCCGTTACCATCACAAGCAATTTTTTCCGCTACGCCAAACGAAGCCAATAGTAAATTATTAGAAACACCCGCAGCGACTGGCGCTGGCACTTCTACTAAAATACAATTCAAGCCTCCGCCTTTGTCATCTTATCAAGTGGATCCAGACTCGGGTCTTATAGGATGTATATGTGGCATTGAAGATGACGATGGATTTACTATCCAATGTGATGTCTGTTTTCGCTGGCAACATTGTTTATGCATGGATTTTGGAACTAACGATGAAGTTCCTGAAGATGAGTATAAATGTTATTACTGTGATGAAGCAAAATGGGGGAAGTTCAATGCCGATCATTGTAGGGCGAGTACCTTAAAGAGATTAGAGCTCGAAAAACTCTCTGATAAGAATGAACAAGCTGAAGATGCTAAGCCATCTAACAAGAGAAAGCATCTTAGCTCTGATTCTAAAAACGATGAAAAAAAGAAGAGAAAAACATCGGAGAAACATAACGAAACCAATCAAGAGAAGAGCGAGGAAAAGAAACCAGTTACGAAACTTGAAACTAACAATTATAATGATAGGACTACAAGCTCAGCCACCGATTTTTTACCGAATAAGAGTAATGAATTACTAGATAATGGAATATCAGCAGAACAATACCAATCTGTATATTACAAATTGAAGGCCAATGATTATAAAAAAACTACAGTTAAAGCTTTCCTTGATAAAGCTGGTACCCAATTCTATAACAAATTTAGTCAACTAAGCAAAAATGAACAAGATTCTTGTATGCTACAAGTCATGACATTTAATGAATTTAAGAATTTGAAATTTAGCAGTATAATATTACCAAATCAAGATGCATATCTACGTGAGAATAAGGAGTTGCGTAAAAAGCAAAAAAATTGTAATGGAACTTCCATCCAAGTCAAACTATATGCAGAAAATCAGAAACAAAAATTTAATGGTATAACAAGGTCAGGCTTGTTTATAACTGATAAGGCATTGAAATATGAAAAAGAAATAACTATTCCTCAAGAAACACCTATAATTGAATACTTAGGCGAAATTGATTTGTTTGATAATTACGTGGATGACCAAGTAAACCAATACTCGGCCTTTGGAACTCCTAAACCGAAAGTTCTTAAAGTTAATTTAAATATATTGTCAGCTGAGGAAGATGATAAATCTTTAGAGATTGTGTCTGATTCTAGGTTTGTTGGTAATGAATCGAGATTTATAAGAAAATCGTGCCCAACGACAAGTAATTGTAAAATTAAGCCAATTTACATTCCTGAAACTAATTCTTTTAGGCTTTTGGTCGTCACATCTAAACCAATTGTTTTAAATTCCAACACGAACGAAGAGGAGCTAAGAATAGATTGGGAATGGGATCGCCTCCATCCAATAAGAAAAATGTATGCCACTAAGAAAACGAACGCTGAAGAACTTACTGAAACACTCAAGTTTGACCAATTTTCTGACCAGGATAAGGCATATTTGATTACATCCATTGATCATATACTTCATTTTGTTGAATGTGGATGCTGTACTGCTAGTTCTGGGATAATACAAAGCGGATGTGCGATATTTAAAGTAAAAAAGGCCACATCCTATCTTTTAAGATCTACAAGAAAAGCATCTAATATAAGTAACATTAATCTTTCGAAATCTCGCGAAGAGTTAATTATTCCAAAGAAACAAAGAAATTTTATATCTTGGGAAGAAAGGTTAATAGAGAGAGATAGGATTATTCAAATGGACTTGCATGTCACTACCAATGAAAGTAGTGCTGATTCAATTGATGTTAACAATCTTGAAAATAATCAAGAATCTAATGAAGAGAACAGTACTTCGAACCAAACACATGATACGAATATTTCCATTGAGGATTCAAAGGTTTCAGACGGATCTCTTCCTCTCTTTTTTACGCTTCCATTTAAGCAGCAGTTAATTGCTAAAGGTAGAAGATTGATAAAAGAAGTCGGACGCGATGAAATGAAACATGACAGAATTGCGACTGCTGATGAGAAGAATGGAGTTGATAAAAAGTCTGAATTTTTGTCTATTTCTGTCCCAGTTGTGCCTGAACTAGTTGTTAAAATACGTCAAAGCCTTGACAAAGAAATTGAACCAATAAACGAAATTAAGAGCAAGGACGATGTTGAAACGGTGGAAACTAGTAACAATGTCAAAGTAGAACCTATGCTCTCTAAATCGAATAA